GCCAAACAAGATCCTTATTCCCCTTAAATCATTCCACTAAGGACATACGACAAATGGACATTATTTTCTTGATTTGTGATAGGATTATGAGTGGCTGTATTCCTTGTGCATGTATGTATATATTCGGTCATAGGCCTTGGTAAAAAAAACAGTTTGGTAATCTCATTTCTATCAAATAATACACTTGTTGTATTCTTTGTTTAAATTCCTAATTCTATATCTTAAGGGTGGTTACCTTAAGTGTGAGTTTAGGTTCTAGATATTTAATTAAGTGTGTTATATCTTAATTAAATTCTATACTTAACCCCAAGTTAAGATAAGAGTGTGTTATATCTCTTAAACACCAACTTGGTTTATCCCCAAAATAAAAACAACAAAAGAATTTCCTGCCTTTTTTTTTCTTCAATTCAGCCCATCCATTCCCTCCTCTAAATACAATTCATTTTCACCCTTCCTTATACAAAATATAACCTAAAACCTATCCTCCCTTTGCTGCCATCTTCTATCAGGACATCCCTCTTCTAAATACTTTCACCCCTTTACTTAAATCTTCTTCCAAAACCAACCATAGATACCTATTGTCTCCCTGAATCCCTTCTGTCCTGATTCCCCCTCCTTCCACCTTGAGTTGAAGCCTAACAAACACACACACAACTAGTGCAGAAACTACCACCTTACTCAAAGCCTCTACTCAATTACCCTAATCCTAGATCTCTAAGTGCTCCTATCTAAAGCCATATCCCCTGTAAGGGAAAGAAGTCCTAGGTCCTGTCTAATCACCTCCTTCCTGTTCTTCCTAGGTCTACCCGTTCCTCTACTCCTGCCCACCAACGAAAGCCTCTCGCATCCCCCCATAGGTGCGTCAGCACTCATCCGCCTCACACCCCTTTAACCACCTCAACCTAACTTCCCGCAACTTATCTTCTCGCATGTCCGCATAGGGGCATCAGCACTCCGCCGCCTCACATGCCCCCAACCACCTCAATCTAGCTTCCCGCAGCTAATGTTCCACGAGGGTCACGCTTACCCATCCTCGGACAACCTTGTTCTGAATCCTATCCATTCTCGTGTGCTCACTCATCCATCACATCATCCGCATCTCCGCAACATGCAGTTGACACACGTGAGTTTTCTTAACTGCCTAGCACTCCGCACCGTACAACATAGTTATAGCTGGTGTGTCTCTTAGAATTCTACTTCACTCTAATTTAGTGACAACTATAGTTGTCTTTGTCTAAAGTCTATGTAACCAGGTCTGATCATTTTTTCTTTATCTTTTCTTTTAACACTTGGTTACTATAATCTGTGCAACCCCCCACTATTGCATCCTCACCCCCTTCTCTCTCTCTCTCTCTCTCTCTCTCCTCCCTCTTTATTTCTTCTCCAATTGAGACTTTAGTTTGTAGCTGTTTATGTTGTAGAATTATACTTTTAGTCTACTAATTATCTTATTGGTATTTGGTAACCCGTAACAACTAGCAATAGTTTGTGGCTTTTAAACTTTTCAAAATCTGTTTTTAAGTTCATTTTACTTATAGTAATCTACCAATGGAGTAAGAGTGCTTCTTTATTTCATAGTTTGAATTATGGAAGAGAAGTGTCAAATGTAACAAGAGGTGAAGTTATGGCCCATTCTGGTGATCCTAACCCCATCCTAAATTCTATTAGAGGTGAAGTTTCAAGTGTGGAAGAGAAGTGTCAAATGTAACAAGATGTAAATACATAGGAGACTCAATAGTTGTCTCATGAGCAGAAGCAAATTGTTGTCCAAGGTCTGGAGAGTAGCATTGGTATACCATTTGTAAATGTGAGTAGCCCAAAAAGACAAATTTGATTTCCTAGGTTGTGATAGTTTAGACTGACCACAGGTCATGTTGTGTACAAAGAAGACGCACATGAATATTCTGTTACAGCTGGTGTATCAGATGGAGGCAGCTGTCAATGACGTGGCACTCTTAGTTGTTACGTTTGTTATCCTAGTTCGTTACGTTTGTTATAGATGGTAAGGGCGGTGGGTTGTATGTAAATAGAAAGTGGATGTACGTATGGACTGAACAATAATACAATCTCATTTTTCCCTCTCTCAAAATATCTTCGTCTTCTCCAAATATCTCTTCTTTCGGGAAATCTCCATTGGAGAAACTTACAGCTTTCCAAGTTGTAACATATTCATGGTAGTGACATGCACTACAAAAGAACAGTGAATTGAAACATCCTCAACAAAAAGAATAATGAATTGAAACCCAACCTTGATGCGACTTTACAAATCTCATACATTGGTGTAAATAAAGTCAAGTTGGGCTTCAACCCAATTTTCCACTTTTCTTGGAAAGGAATGACATGGTTGCTTTCAAACATGACATGATTCACTATCTAGAAACCTAAGATTATTAAGAGGTAGAGTTGGGACAATTCATTGAAGTTTAGAGAGACTTGGATGACCAAAACGATAAGTTGAGAATAATGATAAGAGAGGCCATACGATTCAAAATAGCCAAATAGGTTAAACAACAATTTAAATGATGGGCGGGCTTAATAACAAGTATAAGACTAAGACTCGTTTCGTTCAATTCTAATTCTTCACTTCCAACATTTTCCAACCTTTCTAGTTCCTCCCTACTTCTAGTTTTACCAACTTCTTCCAACAATGCCTTAAAAAAATAATTAAGTATATTGTCAATAATAATAATAATGATCATCTCAATAAAATAAGAATTGACTCAATGTCAGAATTTATAATAAAAAATTTGTCCTCGAGATAAATTTTAGTTACCATTATTGGGTCAATGTAAATTATTAAAATCTAAAATTAATTAATTTAAAATTCCCTTTGTGATTTTCAAATTTTTATTAACTATGTTTTTTTGAAATGTGTTATAGCCAATGTTTTAAAATTTTGACCATAAATTATGTTTTAAAATTTTGAACAAAATAATTGTGCACTTTATTTTCTTTCATTAAGCATTACATACCTTTTAAATGTGCATACTATTTTTACATTGTGCACATTCTATGCATATGCAAAAAAATATATGTCCATACATCAATTAAATAATATGAAGTCTCTAAAGTATGAGTATATATGAAGAAACATAACTTTTAAATGTGCATACTATTTTTACATAGTGCACATTCTATGCATATGCAAAGAAATATATGTTCATACATCAATTAAATAATATGAAGTCTCTAAAGTAGGAGTATATGCGAAGAAATAATTGTGTGAAATTAATATCATTTGATTTTTAAATGTGCATATGCATCCATTCTATTGTTTCATTTGTCTCCTTATTTTTGTCACATGAATGACATACAAATTGAGAATATTTATATGTTTGGTATTAATTTTAAAAAATAAAGAAAATAAGAGTGCGATTTACACAAAATTACTAATATGATTTGAGATCAAATATAATGGCGTAGGAAAAAATAAAAAGAGATAAATCATTTAAAAAATTAGAGTATAAATTACTTAAATGAAATATGAAATTTATAAATTACCTATAAATCATTTCATTTTTTAACACTTTTTATTTTTTTTCAACTCCTTCCAATTTCTTCTAACTCCTTGCAGTTTCTTCCAACTCCTTCCAGTTTTTCCAACTCCTTCCAATTTTTCCAACTCCTTCTAGTTTCTTCCAACTCCTTCCAGTTTCTTTCAACTTCTCCTAATTTTTTCTAACTCTTTCCAGTTTCTTCCAACTCTTTTGAGTTTCTTCAAACTCCTTTCAGATTCATCCAACCCTTCTAGTTTCTTCCAACATCTAACTCTGTTTTTACAATTGAAGCTAACGGAGCCTAAATGTCTATATGGTACAAATAAGACTGACTAAAGTGGAAGGGATGCAACTATGCAAGGGACTCAATGACAAGTTGGAAGTGTGACATTAGTGCTTGGAATCCAAAGGTTTAAGGTTGAGCTGGACTAGCAGGACTAAGACTGAGTATGCAAATTGTTGTTTTAGTGGCCATGCAAAAGAGTTGGGAGTGGGAGTAAAGATTGACTCACACCAAGTGCCTAAAAAAAGGCAAGTTTGAGTGCCTTGATTCGATCACTGAGGCAGATGGGGATGTCATTCACTGCATTGGATGTCGATTTGTGTCCTTTGCATCAAGAAGATAATGTCTAATCTGAAAGGGAAGTTTTATCGGACAGCGGTTTGACCAGCTTTGTTATATGGTGCAGAGTGTTGGGGGGTGAAGAAAACACATGTTTGACAGAGATGAAGATGTTGAGGTGGATGTGTGGTCATACAAGGTTGGATAAGATTCATAGTAAGGTTATTCCGGGTAGGGTGGGAGTGCTACCCGTTGATGATAATTTGCTATTTAGGGTTGGGTGGTACAGTGGTAGCCTTTGATGATAATTTGCGAGAAGCTAGACTGAGGTGGTTCGGGCACGTTAGGAGGAGCTAGACCGTGGTGGTTTGGGCACGTAGGTGATGCAAGAGGCTTGGGGTAGAGGGCATGAAAAGGGGTAGATTTAGGTCTAGAAAGAGTTGGGAGGAGGTTATTAGACAGGACTTCCGACTTCAGGATGTGATTGAGGATATAGCCTTATATAGGAACACTTGGAGATCTAGTATTAGAGCAATTGGGTAGAGCTGTAGGCCTTAGTTTGTAGTTCGTGTTGGTTGTTTTTATCCCTTAGTCTAGATGTGGTGCTTGTGTGCTCCTTGTCTACATATTAGAGTTGATTTATATGCTTCTTTTGTTTATGTTCGTATTTCATTTGTGCTCCAGTGTCTTCTTTATCCGTATTGTTCGGTCTCTTGGAAACAACCTCTCTACCCCCTAGTAGGGGGTACGGTCTGCATACACACACCCTCCCCAGACTTTACTTTTTGTGGAATTCTACAGGCTATGTTGTTGTTGTAAGGCCAGTAGGGGTAGGGTATACGTCATTTATACACGAAAATGTTCTATAATGATGTAGTGAACACTTCAATTTTCCAAAAGGTTTGATGGCATGTACCAACTATTTTTTCTTGTTTGAACAGCACTAAGTGAGAAGCTCTATGTTATAAATGGAGGCTGTGGAGCTGGAAGGTACCTTTCTAATTTCCTGAATTATGATTAATAATATCTTTTTCGTATCATGTGGGTTCATTATATATGTACATTTGTACAGCGGCTTTTATGATATATGTAAATTGTATAAAAATTTACTTCATGTGAACTAACTGCCACATTTTAAATGCATACTAGTGCTGTGAAAATGGTAAATCAATTGCTTGCTGGAGTTCATATTGCATCGGCAGCTGAGGCTATGGCATTTGGCGCACGATTGGGCCTTAATACAAGATTGTTGTTTGATGTCATCATAAATAGTAGAGGAACATCTTGGTAGGTTTTTGTATATTAATTTTCCTAATATGATTGTAGTACTGTTAAAGAGCATGTATCGAGGGCTCGAGGCAATTAGATCTTATGTATATGAGAAGAATGATCTCCATCTCTCTCTCTCTCTCCTTGGGGGGGGGGGAGTGTTCCATTGGACACTAATCCCTGAATACTTTTTGTTGGAATTTTTGGCTTTTAACGGGACAACTTCGGGCATAAATTCGGTGGGGTCCACAAAATTATTTTTTCAAAATAATTATGGACAACTAATTTCTAAAAGTGGGACGAGTGTTTCAATATATTATACGCCAAAAAACGGTGCTCGGTTGAATGAGAAATTAATTCATAAGGTCGAACACTTGGAGGAGTAAAACCCATATATCCCACATCGGATTTGAGACCTTTCATCTTCCACCATTTATATGCTAGCATTGGGTTGCATGGTAAAAGAATTTGAGATGGAAGAAAGAAAGGACCCCTCGCGCGCCGCTGCTGTCCATCCGGCTCGGCACGTCATGAAACGCACGCGCGCGAACGCATATTGGCGTGTGCATGCGCGTGAAGCGTCGTGATGTGTCGAGGGCGTGGGCCAACTCTTATCTTTTTACAAGACCGAATCGAACACGTGTAAGCACATCGTTAATAACAAAGTTGAAAGTCAGCATTGCATGCAATTGCGAAGAGTCACGTAACTCTTCGTGTTGTCTGCCTTGTCCATCCAAATAGCCAAATCCGCTCATATATAAGGAGGGCTTGCTATAGAGAAGAAACATACACTCGAACTCGAAACTTCTCTGCGTACCCAGATTTCCAACTCTCTCTGTTTGGGATCATCTTCTCCGGCGAGTAACTCTACCTCGTTCTTGTTCAATTCGTTAGTGCATCGTTCTACCGCTCTAGACTTTGCACGTTGCGGTTTTATCCTGGGAGGAGATCGTACACGTTGCCAGTGCGAGATGCGGGCGATACTACCCTAAGGAAAGCTCCGGCGACTCTGCTTTCCTTAACATTTTGCAGCTTCTTCTCTGACCACCACTGCCCAGGCCGACGCTCAGAAATTCCGGGATCCGTTTGTCTCTCGCATCTCCGAAGTCCATCTCTTCTCTTTTATTTTCTTTCATTGTAAAATCCGAACAATTATAAGTTCGGATGATTTCTTTTTCTTTTTCCTGCTGTAACTTTTAACACTTCTCTGACATTTTGTTTTCTTCTGATATGTGGTGTGAGATCAGAATTACTGTCGTAATTTACAGCTTCCTAGTTTCTCCTGGCTAATGCTGGTTACTTGTCCTGATATGAGTTTATTGACACTTTTTAGGTGTTTCTAAATCTAAGCTCCAACATTTCCTTTTTCAACTATAGTGCTTGAAGATAATAATATATACTGTTATTGTCATAACAGCTGTCAAGTATTTTGCTGTTATTCTAACTGACAACCTTGGGTTTGCTGCAGGATGTTTGAGAACCGTACTCCGCACATGGTAGAGAACGACTATACACCATTGTCTGCACTCAATATCTTTGTAAAGGATCTGGTGAGGATTATTCATAGGCATGAAGCATGTGAGCTCAATTAGAGCATATTTTGGGCCAAGTTATAGAGTTATCGGGTGATTTTTCATATTAAAGTTTCAAATACAGGGAATTGTTTCTCGTGAATGCTCATCACGTAGAGTGCCTCTTCATCTCTCTTGTCTTGCGCACCAATTATTCTTGGCAGGTGAGTTGAATGTTTTTTGTATATTAATATATTATATATGGTTGTTATTGTGAATCTAAATTTACTGCTTCCTCAAGCCAATTTATCAACTGAGAGCGTTAATTGCAGTTTCTATGGTTTGGCCTTCAGGATTTTAAAAAATTGGGGCCTTCTACAGTTTTGTAATTGCACCCAGCATGCAGATTTTTACTTAAATCTTTTGTTTGGTTGTACCCATTAATGAGATGAATAGATGATCTCCATTAACTTGCATATGACTTCAAAGTTGATTTCTGTCATTGTGATTACTCATTATTCATTAATCATCAAAACCATTCAACTGATACAAATTAAAAATGCCTCATGCTAGGTTCTGCTGCTGGATGGGGTAAATTAGATGATGCCGCTGTTGTGAAGGTATGGAGAGCCATCTGAGAAAAAAGAGGATTCTAATACTCTTACAGTTTTTCTAGTAATGATAAGTAATGTTCAATGTTTTTTCTTGGGATAATCATTTGATGTACCTGAAAATCTGCTACTTCATACTATATTTTTCAGATAGAGGTTTAAGAATATCTATCTCTTGCTCTATAATGAATTGGATTTCACACTTTGAAGTGACCCAGCTGTATGTTTCTAGTTTCTTCCTCACTTCACTCTAATTGTATAGGTGTATGAGAGACTGACTGGAGTAACCGTTGAAGGGAAGCTCCCAGTTCTCAGTAAAGAAATTGTCTTAAACTCCCTTCCTCCTGAGTGGCCTGAGGATCCCATCAGTGAGATATGCAAATTTACTACAAACTTCCCAAAAACTTTGGTTGTTCTGGATGATGATCCAACTGGCACTCAAACTGTGTATGGTGTTGAGGTCTTGACTGAATGGTAAGCATTTGTTAAGAAGTACCAAGTACATGTATACGACTATTTTAAGATCTTTGGATTCAAAAGTCTGAATGTTTTTATATTTTCAAATTTTCTTGTTTGAAATATAGCATTTTGGTTTTTAATCATTCTGTTTTACTCTGATTTTTTTACATTATAGTTTATTAATCTTCAAGTTTTGAAGATTTATATTCGGAAATAATTAATGGATCACTCTTATTTGAATCTTTGTGATATGGCTCTATCTGAATGTTTATGGTTTGGTTTGGTCTGATTCAAATAAAATTAAGTTGTTAGACTATAAAATCCTTCCCGGGCCTTCAACCCCAAGCTTGAGCTTTTGGTTGAGTTGTTTCCTTTACATGGTATCAAAGCATTGCTGACCTAGTGACCTAGAGGTTACATGTTCGAATCTCACCACCACCGACTTTAAAAAAATTAGTGTTCACGTGCAAAGCTCAAGTAAATAAACCTTGTGTGCACTTGAGGCCGCGTGTTATTCTGTTAGAGTATAGAGTCATTCCAAGGCCTTCAACCACATTATAGTCTCCTATCAGCATATGATTACAATATGGTTTACATGATCATTTTGACCACGCTTTTCATATTTTTGTTGTTTTGAGTACAATAGGCATAGCTTTGTACCTCTTTTCCTCTTTCATTTACAAATTTCAGTGATTAAGCTATTATCATGTAAATTACTGAATGGACAAATACCATACCATGCCTTTTCTTAAGATAAATGTTCAAAATATAGACTCAGCGTGCATAGATCACAACTATGTTCACTTAGAAAGTTTGGATGTTAAAATATAAAAAGAAACAACGGGAACTCAACCAGCTATGACATTAAAAAAAGCAAAATAGGTAAGTCCAAATTAAAACATGCATGAAATATAAATAATTAAGTAATTAACCCAGGGCGTGTAATTCATGTTTCCACATTTCAAGTTATCAATTCTTTTTGAAGATCTAATCAAATAAAATATGTCCTGAATCCCGATACAATTCAAATTATCAAGTCAAAACTATTTTATCTTATAACTTTCTTGTAAGTAAAGTAGTTTATTTCATTTTGGTGAGTATGTCGGATTTGAAAACTTTTGGCTAAGTAATTCCATTTTGTTGTTCATCATAACATGATTTGCTGTGATACACGTGTGGCACATCGAGATAAATTTTTTTGGCTCAGTCGCAAATGTTAACTAATTATGTTCTTGAAACCAATGGGACAAGCTAACACTTGCCCTTAGCTTCCTTCATGTTATGAGCACTTGTACTTCTCTCTATTACTTATCTCCTGATTAAAAACTAAAATGAGTATCTTTAAGAGAAAAGTTCACTTTTGATTTCTCTAGATGCTATTAATCTTATATTTTTTCTGAAGTCAAGTAATTTAACTCGTTTTGGTGTGTATGCTGGATTTAAATAGTATCGACTGAATAATTCCTTTTTGTCCATATACGCAATATGTTGTGATACAGGTCTGGCACCATCTGATAATCATTTTTGGGTCACTCCCTAACATTTTCTAAATGTATTCTTTAAACCAATAGGGCAAGCAAAAACTTAGTGTAGCTTCCTTCATGTAATTTTTTCCTATTACTTTTAAGATAGCATACATGGAAATTCAAAATCAAAATTTTCAAACGAGTACTTTAAGAGAGAATTTCACTTTTGCTTCCTCTAGACACTAGTATACTAGCATTCTGATTTCTGAACACTAGTCCCCTACCTTAAATTCTGACAGTTGCTATTCCTCGACTTTTGTGTAGCTCTCAACTTTGGTCTGTTTGTCATGGTTTTGTTAAAGACTTAAAGTTGACGGATGTAGACTAGACTGAATGTTACAGTAATTATACTTCCTTATCTTTCACCCTCTTAGCATATAAGCCTGTCCTCATTTTCCCTTTCTTTTGAACCACGGCACACATTGAAGATGATATGAGTTTGAGAGTTAGAGTTTGATGAGAAGAGAATCAGGAAGAGTTTGGAAATATAGACTGAAGAGGGATAAAAACTGCGGTGAATGAAAGGTTACAAAAATAATCTTTTCAACTGCATAGTGCATGCTTTCGTCTATTTTTAACCCCAAAACCTAACAACTAAGGTTGATTTTGCTACAAAATTGAGGGCTTGCATTTGGGTTGTTTTGAATTCGGCGTACTTTGGTTACACTGCAATTGTCAAATGAAAGCAAGAACTACTCTCTTGCAATGAAACATATGAAAGCATATATATTGCTACTTTATGCACTGAAGAACCCTAACCCTTCTATGTGCATGACACATGCCGCTGTGACACCTATTTTTATTTTTATATTTATTTTAATCATAACTAATATCAGGAGTGTTGGATCGCTTCTTGTGGAGTTCAGAAAAAGGCCTAAATGTTTCTTCATTTTGACCAACTCCAGGGCATTAAGTTCAGAGAAGGTGAAAATGCTTCTAACCAGATACAGTTTGGAAATTTATGTTTTTATAATGAATTTTCTCAGGAATTTTTTGTTTATAGCTTACCAGATCAAGTACTTCATTTGTTTGCTGCTACACTGTTGACAGGCAAGTGCACTGATAACAGAAATCTGCAGAAACTTACAGACTGCATCTAGGTCTGTTGAGAATTCTGACTACACTGTAGTGCTAAGGGGGGATTCTACTTTACGCGGTCATTTTCCTGAGGCAAGGTCTTGGCCTATCATATGAAGTCAAGTTTATGTTTTTTTGTTTGTGACAAAAAGTGGACCAAACTTATTATGTCTAGGAAGCAGATGCTGCTGTATCTGTACTAGGTGAAATGGATGCATGGATATTGTGCCCTTTTTTCCTGCAAGGAGGTCGTTACACTATAGGAGATGTACACTATGTTGCAGAGTCTGATAGGTGTGTTTCTTTTATTTGTTTTTACGGAGATTGCTTTTCTTTCAAGAGCATGAATACCATTATAGTGTCTAATGATTGTGTTATCTATAGATTTATTCCTGCAGGTGAGACAGAATTTGCAAAAGATGCATCTTTTGGCTATAAATCTTCAAACCTCCGTGAGGTCAATTATCAATGATTTCTGTGTCTATGTGAAACAATTTAGCATTAAATATTAACTCGAATTGGTTACTTATTCAATTATGTTAATTTGATATCATAGTGGGTGGAGGAAAAAACTAGAGGATGCATACCAGCTAGCGTTGTTTCGTCAATTACTATCCACCTTTTAAGAGAAGGGGGGCCCAATGCTGTTTGTGAACATATCTGTAGTTTGAAAAAGGTAGAAACTGCAAACCTCTAAATTTTATTTATCTGACTTCTTACAAATGGTTCAGTCTAAGGCTGTCTAATTGTTTATTGCTTTGTGAGTGGAGCTTTAGTTTGTGATGTTTAGATTTATATGCTTGACAATTTTTGCTTCATGCTTAAGTTTTATTTTATATATGTTCAATATAACTAAACCTAGTTTGACCAGGCTTGGTTCATCTTCTATTTTGTGTATCTATAAGTAGAAGACCTTTATACATGCTTCATATGAAATATTTCAATGAACGCTCATACTTCAGGACTATCTTGAAGCTCCCTTATATTTCTCCAGGCAATCCCTGTTTTTTCCTCAGTAAAACCTACTGGCTCATGTACTTGCAGTTCTTTTCGTTACGCTAAGCATTTCCTTTTGTCATTTAGAAAACTAATACCACCACCCTGCCAAGAAGGCATCTCGACACCAATATCTCAAACCTCGGCATCACATGATTCCCCATTCTCTTCCTGATGCCAATCGGTACGTCACTGTTTTCACTCTGATTTGGCGTTCCAGTGCTCAGATCACCTCACTGATAGCATCAGGGAGTTCCTCTCCTTCGCGCCGAGTAAAGGCTGGTTGCTGTCCTTGGCATCCCCGTGGTTTCACGTTGGAGAAGAGGGACTGGGCATTAACTACTCGGTATATAGTTGTGTTACTGTGATTCTTATCATATTTTTTGTGCAGTTGGAGCCGGGGGTCTCTTGGAAACAGCCTCCCTACTTCCGAGTAGGGGCAAGGTCTGCGTACACACACCCTCCCCAGACCCTACTGTAGCGGGATTCAAATGGGTTGTTGTTGTTGTTGTTGTAGAAACTCTAGAGCTGACATAGACAGCAACTCTATGCAGCTTTGCTAGACAGCAACTTTACAAATATGGTATACTACTTTAATAGTCGTTATTCGCTAGAGCATAAACACCACTCCATATCTCAGTGTTACTTTTTTGGGCCCACTGTTGCCATTACCATATCACCAATGTGCTCTTTCAAATGATTTCGAGATCTTACATATCCTAGATCTTAGTGAGGGGTGGACTGTAGTCCCGGTTACATGAACTGAAGGCATTGAACTGAACCTTGAATGGATATTTGGATGTCTGTTGGGATTCGCAAACGAACCTCTCTACTTTTGCATTGTTAATAAACTTCCTGAAGTTTTGTTCATGGCATTCTGCATTTGAAGTATTACTCATGTAGTTCCCTACAACAACAATTTGGTTAAATTGACAACTAGGAACGAATAAAATTATTTTTAAAGGTGAGGATAGCAGCAGAAGAGCCTCCTATCCTCATGCCCGGGGTGCTAAATGAAGACCATTGGCGAGAGTAATAGAGGGTAAATGTTAAGGCACTGAACTGAACCTTGATTGGATGTCTGTTTTGATTTGCAAAAGAGCCTCTCTACTTTTGCATAGTTAATAAACTTCCTGAAGTTTTCGTTTATGGCATTCTTTCTTTGTAGTATTACTCATGTAATTCTCTGCAACAACTAGGTTTAATTGATCAATAGGAACGAATAAAACTGTTTTTAAAGTTGAGGATAGTAGCAGAAGAGCCTCATATTCTCATGCACGGGGTTGGAAATGAAGACCATTGGCGAGATTAATGAAGGATAATTCTTAAGGCTTGGACAAGTTAGTCAAAAGGAAAGGGTTACAAGAGAGACATGATTGGATGCACTAGAATCAATTACCCAAGTGTCAGATACCTGGTGAGGTGGTAGTTTCAAAATATACAGATGGAATCATCTAGGCAACATTGACCGTGCGTACATATCTCCTATGTAGCTTCCAACATTTATCCTTAGTTTGACCTATTTTATGACAAAAAAATACCACTAGGACGATTCCATCGGTTATTCCCTCCATTGATGATTCCTTTTGATTTTGGCTTGCATCAATAAACCTGATCGGCTGGTATTGGGTGGTGCAAATGTTTCTTGCAAAGATATATCTCATGTTCAGAAAAGTGGTACTGTATAGAATTTGTTCACGAATTGATCATTTGATTGCAACTCAGGGCAAAGACCAGCTATGGCTAGGACCATGATAAGTTGTTGGTGTTGCTCAAGTTGTGCTTCATTTGTAACAGGACCATAATTACTTGAATTTTATGGATACTGGTGTTCTTAGTATTTTAAATTGACTCAAACTTCAAATTGGCCAATAGCCACTTAGATTAGACATTTTAAATGAAACAAGATGGAAGTGCATGTTAATGTATGCATGTTCCATATGTAGTTTAACAATAGTTCCCATTCTTTACAATATACTTGCACTTCCTTTCTACTGATGTTTAAATGTATATTGAAAAAGGGCACAGCATGTATAGTCAATGCAGCTAGTGACAGAGATGTCGCTGTATTTGCTGCTGGGATGCTTCAGGTTTTTATGTATTTTGTTTTATACTTTATGACAGAATTCTTTTTCTTTTAGCATCCCTAAGAGAACTATAAACACTGGCCTTTATTTTCTTGGGTTATAGGCAGAATTGAGAGGAAAACGTTTCTTGTGTCGGACTGCTGCTAGTTTTGTCTCTGCTCGGATGGGGATTAGACAAATACCTCCAGTTTCACCTAATGATGTTGGCATAAACCAGGAATTGAGTGGTGGACTTATCGTTGTCGGCTCACATGTTCCGAAAACAACAAAGCAGGTGAACATGATTTCTCTTAGTTTTTTATTTCTATGACAACTAAAGCTCATTGCTTATTTTCCACTATACAGGTTGAAGAACTGAAATTGCAATTCGGCAATTTGCTGAAGACAATAGAGGTAGCGTATAGAATGCTTATATATTTTTCAGGTGGTGAAAGTATTATCCTCCTTATAAATATGCATGTATGCGATTTTATAAAGCTTCAATTTCTCCAATTATGTGTATAGATCTCAGTGGATAGAGTTGCCATGAAGACATCAGAAGAGAGGGAGGAAGAAATCAATCAAACGGCGGAAATGGCTGATATCTTCCTTAAAAATCGTAAAGACACTCTTATTATGACCAGCCGAGGGCTTGTTACTGGGAAAAGTAAATTTTCCTAATGTGCCTCTCTTTCCTTTTCATATCTTCATCTAATTTTAATACTTGAATCCAAAGTATTGTGCCTGCATGGTGCTCATATGTTTTTACTGGTAATATTTCATTATTATCAACCAGCTGCTTCTGAGAGTTTGGAGATCAATTTCAAGGTTAGTTCTGCACTAGTTGAGATTGTTCGGCGGATAACCACAAGACCTCGATACATAATTGCGAAGGTAGGTTTCTTCAGCCAATTTCTTCTCTTGGTGCATGTGTGCATTTGTTTTATGGATTATCATCTGTGTATCATGAAATATTCTCTGTGCATGTAGAATTAACTTATGATGGTTACAGTTTCAAAATTTTCACTTCATTATTCCTTATGTGTTTTTTTTCTTACTGAACTCTGCTTTCTAGTTTCTCCATCTATTTTAAATGATTTTAGTTGGACAGATGACAAATTTAGTTACCTCTAAAGCTTAATGTTTACTTTATCCATTTTTAAATAATTGTTCATTATGACTTTTTACATATATTAAGAATCAAATGAATGTGGACATAATGTGTGTCCACATTCATTGAATTTCTAATGTATGTACATAGTCAAAATAAACAGTTATTTAAGAACAGAGGGAGTAGTTTAAATCTTCATTCTTATCATCAATCATCATTATCAGCCTTTAATCCCAACGAGTTGGGGTCAGTTGCATTACATTCATGTGCCAATTAAATGTTTAAAATCTGTAGAAATGTGCCCATGACATTACTATTATAGCATTGTTTAGCTTGTCATGGGATGAGGAAAAGAAAAGAAAATGATATGGAATACAATTTTTCTTGTTTTGTTAGAGAGGAAAAGAAAGAAAACGGAAGGAAATTAAAATGAGAAGAGAAATTGAACTAGGAATTTGAATTTTGAAAAAATCTTTTTCCTTTTCTTCCGAATTCCATGGACCAAACATAGTGCTAGTGATCTTTGCCTTTACCTATTTGGCTCCCCACCTTTACCATCAGATTTCTCTATTACTGGGGATTCATCCATTAATTTTTCAGAATTTTTCGAGTGCCAACGACTTCTTAAGTCAGAATATTTTCCATTTTTCTGATAAATTATAACTACTTTGGACTCTAGCTATAGTTCATTTGTTGTTACTATCTTGGCAAAATTGTATGAACTACCAATTATTCATGGACAACTTTCGCTCTGATATGGTTCAAGGGTAATTGTATCTATGATCATCTGAGCAAAACTGGCGGTGGAATCGTAGAAAGAAAAAATAAGTGGGCACAAGCGGACTATCTACTTTGTAGTTCTGTGTGGCTATCAATAGATCCCAAAGTGTATGGTTCCTTCAAGATGGCACTATCAAGAACAACTAGTCGAAATCCATAAGGGAGGTCTAGGTTGCATGGCATTTACAAAACGTTCAAAACATGTTTACAAGGGATGAGGCCACAGCTCTGTGCACAAATGACATTCAAATTGTTCAAAATATTGTTTTCTGTACGGCCAATTGGTCAATTCCAAGCCACAAGATTTGTATGTGTCTAAATTTCAATCCCAAGCAGAAGTTTTCAGTGAACGTTAAAACTCTACTTCTGGTAATCTGGTTGATGACTCTTTGGAAATTTAATTGAAACAACATGATCTACTTATCATGGTACATGCATTAAGGAGTGTTGAATCCAATTTTATCATGTTTGGGATCAAATACTGTCTTGTTCTTTGAAATAGTAAATGTGTTCTCATAATCGCTAATGTTTTTGTTGAGGCTGTATATGTACTTCAATTCTAACTCTAGTTTAGCAACTCTATGTAATATTTATTCATGCATCTACAATTACTTTTTTTGGTAGAATTTGTAATAAAGTATCAATTTTTTTCATGATTATCTCGTGAGTTCTCTTTTTCATATCTCAGGGTGGAATTACCTCATCAGATATTGCAACAAAAGCTCTTGAAGCAAAACGTGCCAAAGTTGTTGGGCAAGCTCTTTCTGGTGTTCCTTTGTGGCAGCTAGGCCCTGAAAGCAGACATCCCAAAGTTCCATATATTGTCTTCCCTGGTACATTCTGCTTGCTGATAGTCTTCATTTTTTCCTGTGTTCTCTCTTTTTGTTTGACTTATAGATGCCTTCCTCAGGGAATGTTGGTGACAGTAAAGCTCTGGCAGAGATAGTGAAATGCTGGGCTCATCCAGGCAGACCTTCAACTAGAGAGCTTCTTGTGGTAAGATTTCTGAAAGGTGAATATTCGCATTTTTTTATACTCAAGTTCTCTAAGAACAGGTTTACTGCAAGTAGGATGCTGAAAAGGGGGGATACGCTATTGGTGCTTTCAATGTCTACAACATGGAAGGAGTTGAAGCAGTTGTTGCTGCAGCAGAGGATCAATGGAGTCCTGCTATTTTACAGGTTTAACATTAACATTCGTCATCATCATTATAACTATGTTGGGGTTAGCAGCATAGCAACACAATTTTAGTGTCATTTAGTTGTATAAAATTAGTTGACATTGTAAATTTCAATAGTAAAATTTTTCTGCTAATTTTTTTAGTTTAAACATTCACAAACAATCAAGCTGATAATTTTAAAACCTTCTCTTTTGCCAAGGTTTTTCCATAATGCTTGCAATATGTGGTTATATATTGTGCACTAAGGAGAAATTAATGAAAAATTAATACTTTATTTTATTTATTCTCGGTTTGATTGCTTGTAACACGCAAAGTAATGTGCACATAAACATAACTAATTTAAGGAACTGCAACATAATTGTATTGTAAAAGTTATACATCATTCGTTAAATCGAACTCAAGTAGATTGTAAAATATTATAAGCTAGGTTATCCATAAATTTCATTTAACATTTTAATATTTTGTACTCCTTATTGACTTTGTAATGGTAACTAACATTTGTTTTTGGGGAAAAATAAAACTTTTTTTTACAAAAATTGTGATATTACTTCGTTTTTTTACAGAGCATTATTTTATTGACCTTTTTGATGATGATGATGATGATGATGATAATAGTAATAATAATAATAATAATAATAATAATAATAATAATAATAATAGTAATGTTGGCCATGTGTGCATCAATTGTCTTGTGGCGGAGGCTTCGTGGGCGAAGTCATACTCGAATGTGGTGGGTGCTTGTGTATGCTGAATGCACTATAATCCTAGGGTATGCATCTTTTCTAACACCAATTGGTTTAAGAAGAATTGGTACTGCCTGAGGTCCTACAAGTGGTATCGGAGCCAAGGTCACGAGTTCAATTCGCAGTGGGAGTAATTGCTGAGGGGGAGATTGTTGGCCATGTGTGCATAAATTGTCCCGTTACGGAGGCTTTGTTGGCCAAGTCACACTCGAATGTCATGTGTGTTTGTTTATGAATACACTATAAAGCTAGGGTATGCGCCTTTTCTAACACCAATTGGTTTTAGAAGAGTTAGTAGCACCTGAGGTCCCTTACAAGTAATAATATTAATTATAGTACTCCCTCCGTCCAAAAATTATCTTCTCACTTTTCTTTTTTGTCCGTCCACAAATTATCTTTTCATTTCTATTTTAGACATGTTTTGTGTGTAAAAAGGCTTCCTTGCCCTTACAAATATTCCCTAAATTTCAACTTTCTCAATTCTCACCCCCGTTTCCAATCCACCCACAACTTTTTTCTTCTTCCTTCTTCCTTGTCCTTCTTCTTTCTTATTTCTTCTTCTCCCTTCTTCTCCCTCTAAATTCCTTCTTCTTCCTCCCTCTATATAGATCTTTTTGCACCTTTTTTTCAGATCTATTTGAAATTATAGCAGCGGGCGGAGCAGGTTGTCGGCGGTTAGAGGTAGTGGCAGAGCAGGGAGGTGTTGATCGGAAGTAAAAATCTATTTTGTAGATTGTGTTAGATGCCTCGCACACCTCTAGAGGGGGGGTGAATAGAGGTGTTGCCCAAAAGACCAGTTTTTTTTTGCGCAGAAACGTTCTTCACAAATATTCAATAAAAAACAATGCACCACAAACAAAATAAAGTGAAGGATAAGAGCAATGCACATACGATATATACTGGTTCGGCCTAAATGCCTACCTCCAGTCCCCGAAGCAATCGTGCCCAGGCCTTCACTAACCCGTCAAACTTAACGGACTTTGACAATCCGAATACAACTCGAGAACTTGATTTCACAAGCCTCTTATCTTACCACCGAAGTTTTGATTTCACAAAACTCAGGATTTCTTTCACCTAACGTTTGATTTCACAAACCGTTAGGATTTCTACCACTTGGTGTAATCCTAACACCAAGAATACAAATCCCTTACAATAAAGTAAGAAAACAAACCGCAACCGAGTAATTCTCCCAACACAGAGTAGATTGTTGCAAATACAATGAAGTCCTTTAAAATGTGGCAATATCTCTCAAAGACTCAAGCAATGAGGAAAAACTCAAGCAAGAAATGATTTATCAATCAAAACAATTGCCTTGCTTGGATATAAGGAGGGGATTGAGTAGAATCTCTTTGGATATTCAAAGGATATATTCTTCAAAGTGTTCTAAGTGCTCTTATAAAGATAATCACGAAAGTAGGTAGTTTATAGAAGTTAGGGAGTTGATAGGGATGAAAAGCATTCAAAAAACTAGCCGTTTGGTAGTTGAAACTGTCGACTTATTCGAATAACTCAAGAACTGTTCGAATAGTTTTGATCAATCGCGTGGTTTGAAAAAACCAGTTCCTATTCGAATAAATGGTGATTTATTCAAATAAATCAGGTTGAAAAACCAGGACTTGTTCGCATAAATAGTAGTTTATTCGAATAAAACAGGTTAATTTCAGTCACAGGAAAGATCACGACTTATTCGAATAAACTAAAGATTATTCGAATAGAAAGGCAACTTCCCCACACAAAGGCTGATCTAAAATGTGTTTTAAAGGTAGGATGATAAGGGAATGAACCTTAGAGATGCCATACTCTTTAACACATAATCTAAGACCTAAAACACTACCCAACTAAGAAAACAACCTCTTCGGTCTCGTTCCTTCCACCGATGCTCAAGTCCCTTCTTCACGGACGGATATGAACTTGTTGTAGCTTTGATTCTTAGCCTTGATGCACAATATGATGATGATGTTTTGTCACCCTTTTGTCATTATCAAAACCTAAAAGACAATGGGCAAAGGACATTGCAAAAATATATATTCATGATAGCACATTGTCCAACAATTTCCCCCTTTTTGATAATGACAAACCCATTAGGAGATATGCATCATACAAGGCTAGTTCCCCCTCAAGTATTGCATCATAAATCAAACAAAGACATACAAATCTATACTATCTTCCCCATNCTATATATTCATGATAGCACATTGTCCAACAGATTGCTGCAAAAAATTGAAATCGGTTGCAAAAATCTATTTGCAATCGATTGCAGAAAGCTACCGTCAGTTGCTGTAAAAATCCATTCTACCGCTGCTTTGCTTGTGTTGCCGGTCACTGCTGCCTCGTGTTCCCTCGCAGTTGCCGGTTGCCTGTCTTGCCGCTCATTCCCGGTCACCGATTGCTTGCGTCATCGGTCTTGCCTCGCAGTCGCCAGTCGCCGATTACCTAGAGCTATCAGAAGAGAAGAGGGGTGGACTGCTGAAGAGAAGGGGTGGATGGGTATTTTGGAAAAGTCAACTACACTTACAATATTCCTTAATATGCGTGTCCGGTCAAACCGGGAAGTTTAATTAATAATTATGGAGGGAGGGAGTAGTAGTAATAATAATAATAATAATAATAATAATAATAATAGTAATAATAATAATAATAAATGAAAAGATACTGCATTGTAATTGAGTCAATAGCCACAAAAAATGATTTTTTTTATGTACATACTTGGTCGTAGTTGATATCAGGGATTGATTTATATATATAAATTTGGAAAACTGATTTCAATTTATTGAAATTGTAAAAAAAAATGTTTTCCAATTTTCTGATAAAACTTAAAAAAGGGGAGAACATTATTCTGTTTTCTGATCTTAAAAAAGGATGAAGTAAACATTTTTTCTGTTTTCTTATTTTGGTAAATGGAAAAATTGAGTGTGTGCAATATTTCCTTTCCAGAAAATATGACTTTTCCTGTTAGTAAACAATCCCGTAAATGTTTTGTATGAAATAAGTGTAATTTCTTGTAGTTTTTCGGTGTGTGAACAGGTAGCAAATGAATTACTATCTTTTTTGCATATGTGAATTCTTCATTTAGATCCATATTACTATACAATAAATGATAGGTTTCAACAACGTTTGATTTTCTGTAGCTGCAAAATATGCCTCCTGATTTTCTTCAGCTTTGGATTGCATTAGGAAGCCCTATTCTTCAGTTCCCTAGAACATTCATTCTTATGTTTTTACTTTGAAGCTTTGCACCTTTTCGATGACATCCATTTTAACTCTTTGGCTTTCTGTTATAGATCCACCCAAGTGCTTTCAAGGAAGGTGGAGTTCCTCTGGTTGCATGTTGTGTAGCTGCTGCAGAACATGCTACTGTAAGTGGCATTTCCCCACTGCATTTGTGTTTAGTAATGACCTCTTATCCAAAATGTAAGAACTAAGAAATTAAGAAAGCAGACATAATGGGGTCCTTATTTTTAGGATGAATGGCGTTATCAAGGAAAGTTTTTATAGGTTAGATACTTAGATGTCCTGATCTAAAGATAAAAGAAGCCTCCCACTGAGAGAGAGAGGGAGAGAGAGAGAGAGAGATAGAGAGAGAGAGAGAGAGAGTTGTTTCAATTATTTATTACTCTCTCCATCCACAAATTAGCTTCCCGGTTACTATTTTGGGCTCTCGATAACTTTTTTTTGTTTGTGTGTTTTCATGTATAATTTTCATAAAATAAAATATTCTTGTCACATCGTGTTTTATAGAACTTTTGAAATATATAATTTGAAGTTTTTATTTTTGTACCAATTTGTATAAAAAATAATTTAAGAGATGAGATTTTGCACGTTGTTCGAAACGTGAAGTTAATTCTCATGTCTTTCTTGGTTGGACTAACCAGTGATTTACAACAAGCCTTTCTTCTTTTTTGCAAGAAGAGGAATTTCTTTATCTTTATGGATTTAGGTCGGTCTCATTCTTTCGGTAGCTATTTTTGGTGCTTTTAAAGCAGTGGCCAAGTTATTGAACGAAATAAGATTTCGGAACGTATACATGAGTTTGATTTGTGGATGAAGGGAGTAATTATTATTATTATTATTATTATTATTATTATTATTATTATTATTATTATTATTATTATTATTAAGGCAAAAACTCAACTATCATCAATTCAAAAGAGAAACAACAAAGTCAGTACTGATCAAATTCCAAAAACCAACAATGCACTCAATCTGTCTAGCAAGGGTATGAGCAACAATATTAGTAGAACGAGGAACATAAGCAATAGAAGCAAAATCAAACTCGGACATGAGAGCTTTACACTCCTCAACTACCAAAGCCTGAAAAGCACCATCCGTATAAAAAAGCACTCCCTCAAACCCCACGACCTCTGAGCGTGGAAATAAGGTAGCATTGACGAAAGCCTTCGCCACCCCTACTCTAGTGGCAGAAACCAAAAGGATCAATGACGGAGAAGAGACCATCACCATGTATTCCTTCCATCTGTAATGCAAAACCATAATCCATAGAACAACTTCACTGGGAGTCATCACCCACCACTCCCAGACAGCGATGTTGCTACATTTCCAAATAGCCCAGGTTGTCCGCGCCACCTTCTCCAACTCACCCACCTAAGCCGAAATGGTAAGCTGCTGGAACCAATCTTAAAAAGAAGCAGCTATAGCCTGATGAACACCACGACCTAGTTGTCTCCACACATCCAAAGAGAAACAAGCCAGAAAGACATGTTTTGTGCTCTCATCTAAGGCTCTGTACTCTGCAAACGGGATAGTAATTATCAAGAGACATAGCCTTAGTATTAAGTTCTGAAATTGTTGGAAGTATCCCTATTTATAGCCTTATTCTTTGTTTCGTATAAGTAGTCTTATTCTATTTAGTTAATATTCCTAATAAGGATCTTGGTTTCCTAGTAGGATTACTGTAGATTTCTTGTAAGTCTTTGCCTATTTATATTCAACCAAAACATTAACAAGCACGTCGTTAATGCAAATTAAGAATTCAGTTGTCACGGACTTTGGAACCCTAGGGTTTCTTCCTCATTGCCTTGGACGACGAGGTGTATTCTCTTATCCTCTCCACCTTTCTCTACCACCCGAGCCCTAAACAATTTGGTTTCAGTACGCAGTCCATGATGCCTTCAACCATTGACGATCTTGCAGCATATCTTCGGATTCTTCGGGAGTGATGGCGACCACCACTTGCAGACTAACAACGATGGAAGCCAACTAAAATTAAGTCCCCGACTATAAACATTTTTCTGGATCTTCCAGACCAGGATCATTGTCACTGTTTTAAACTGTGCTAAGAACAGTGCAATCAGCACAAAAGACTAGACTCCCCCTGAGCAACAGGACCTAGTGGTGTGTTCATAGACTTGTTCTTCCTCTAAGTCAGCATAAAGAAAGCACCTTGGATATCTTATTGAAACAGTGGCCAGTGAATATTAGCTCCCATTGTTTAAATCAGTGGATAGAAGCAACGTAGCTATGAAGGAAAAGGTATCAGTGTAATCCAACCCTTAAATCTTAGTTTACCCTTTGTATGACATTATGACCAAACAAGCCTTAACATAATCAATTCTACCACCGGGACCGACTTTTAATAACTAGGATTGAGTGTTACACAATCATGGGATGCTTTGTCCAATCCCTCCACCAGTATTTCCTTGGATAAATCGAACAAGTTCCCAAGTGGTAGAATGAAGAGCCTCTATTTCTATCAACATTGTATGTTTCTACTCGGGGTGTACCAGATGTGGAAGAGCCTCATGAGTAATGTTGGAAATTGTACATCAGAAAGGTGGGAGAGAAATGAAAAATATTGAGTGGTGACACGATGGTAGTTAAGAAAGTTGTATATGGGGTATGGGTTAATAGTAGAATGCAGACCTTTTCTGAAAGCAGTGGGTAAATCATCATGTTCCAGGACCTGGCAGGAGAAGATGAATTATCGTTTTGAGGGAATTTCATTGACCTTGGAAGGTGGAGGACAAGGAGAATGATGATAGACCTGCAAGGAATGATCTTGTGGTAATGGATCAAGTGGTGGTGCGGTAGAGTGAGTGTCAGGACTAGGAGAGATTGGACTAAGGTATGGAACAAAACTCGGATAAGTGTGTCAGGTGAAAAACATAATAATAAGATGACTTTAGAAATGTAACATTTGCTAAAGCAAAATACTCCCTCTGTCTCAGAGTATTTGTCAAGTTTGATTTTTGTGAGTCAAACTGGATAAACTTTAATAATCAGTTACATTAAATTTGTGTAACATATTAATATAATGAAATAAGATTCTGAAATTTTTCCACAACTCCACAAGATAAATATATGAAATAGTTTTTGTACTAATATACCAAATTTCTATTTAACTAATAATCAAACTCTGTCCAATTTGACTCGAAAAAGTCAATTTGAACTAATACGCTGGGACGGAGGTAGTATTTTCTTAACGCTCGAGAATAATATCCTTTTGAAGTCAGGAATAGCTCAGGAATATACTTTTGAGATGACATGCTGTGAGTATGGCGTCTCCCAGAACGGCAGGGTGATCTAGTGCACTAAAAGTGTGCGAATGGTTTCAAGTTTCAACTAGATGGTGATGCTTTCATTAAGCAACTTCTTTTTGAGAAGGTGTGTCAACGGAAGAGGATTGGTGAAGCATCCCCCAGGGCCATGCATTTATTACATGGTGCAAGTAGGAAAAAATACAATGTGATGTACAAAGACGGTGATATGAGAAAATGTTTATGCAGTAATGGTTATAAGTAGTCCTAGTATCGATTTGACTTTCTATGGAGTACTTGTAATTGTAGGTTTATAGGGTCTTGGGGGAAATGAATAACCTAACATGACCCAGTAGATCATTCACCTTTCTATTGGAGAATGAGTTGTTGACTCTTTTACAATGTTCAAAATGGCATAGGGTGGGTTTGAGGCATTTTTTGTTAGTAAGGCATGAGGCTCAAGATGTAAGCCTCAGGTTACGCAAAAATATATACCAATCAATAATAGTTTATTATTCAACTGGTATGATGGTAAAGGTTAAAAAGTTAAGTATCTCTAGTGGTTTTTTTTAGAGACAGAAAAAATCTTATGTTATTGCATATCTGCGTAGTCCATAAACCTTTTCCATCCAGCCTTCTGCAAAGTATAAATAATACACATGGGTTATTGACAGGTTCCTATTACGGTTCACTATGATCATGGAAGTTCCAAGAAAGAGTTATTGGAAGCTCTTGAGATTGTATGTTTTTTAATATAAACCACAAAACTCTTCAAATTCCTCATTTCATTGGTCCAAGTTCTCTCTAGAGCTCTTGCCGGATTTGTGTGTGCGCGTGCATGTGTATTAATTAACTTTTCTTTTCAGGGGTTTGATTCAGTCATGGTTGATGGCTCACACCTCCAATTTGAAGAAAACATTTCTTACACAAAGTACATCTCGGTATTGGCACACGCAAAAAAAATGTTGGTGGAAGCTGAGTTGGGAAGATTGTCAGGTACAGAAGATGACTTGACTGTGGAAGATTATAAAGCTAAGTTGACCAATGTGGATCAGGTTCTTATCTATTACTTGTTAGATATGCCTTGTTACAGTCACTGCTTTGGTAGTTTTTTTGTTGCTTATATCTTCTTTGTATCTTCTTTTTAGGCTAATGACTTCATTGAGGCTACAGGGATAGATGCACTGGCGGTGTGCATTGGGAATGTCCATGGGAAATACCCTCCTAGTGGCGTGAATCTCAGACTTGATTTGCTTAAGGTCAATTGTAATTCTCATTTTTATTCCTTTGTGCTCTACTTTCTTTTACTGGGTACACAAGTTCTGCAATAACAGTTACCTCATTCATCCCATCCTATCTGTTAACAGCTCTATTGTTGATGTAGAGTTTGACTTGGCAAACTCAATATTCTAAACAAATTAAGAGTGCATTTATTATTTGGTCTGAATTCTCAGTGTAGATAATCCAGATTCTAAAGGAACTGGCATTGCCTGTCATCCAAATGATTGGGTACTAATCCCTTGTATGTTGCTATAAATGTAGGTTGAATTTATCATATTTTTCAACCAATACAATTGCTATCCACATTCCACATCTCATATCATCACCTATGATACAACAATATGTCACTTGCTGTTTGCTGCCATATTTATATATTTGATGCTTCAGCACTTGCCTCGTATCTTGTCATATCTGATAATCTGGATAATCTTAAATGAGCAGTGAACCAGTATCTGATACTTGGGGGTGGGGGGGGATCTGCCCTTTTTCACTGTTGGTAGATCTTCTTATATACACAAGTATACTAACAAATGGAGGAGAGGGGTACTTATACATTTCCTTTATTCTCACGGCTAAACCTATCCGCGTCACTAGGGTGACAGTCACTGCTTATGGTGTGTTTGGGCCAAGCCTGTACAGGAGGCCCAAACGGGTACCAGGTGTTCAGGGCTCGCACTCGGCCTGACTGCCAAGCAGGTTCACCTTCATTGAGGTCACAGGGTTGAATCCTTTCATAGCAGTGTAGCCATTCACTTTTTTTTTAAATCATAAACACATCATTTTCTTAAAATTTACTCCGTACAAGGGTTAAATAAAAATTTCAAAAAACTTTAATTTAGCTTTATTTCATTACTTTAACTTACATCCTTGTGTGCACAAATAAGAAATCAATCACTCTTTAATCTATTGTCAAACATAATAAATATAAATTACTTTGTAATTTGTTCTTTTAAACTCTTGAATGAAAAAAAACAACCCAATTGGATCCCACGAAAGTAAGGTCTAGGGAGGGTATGTACGCAGACCTTGCCCCTACTCGAAAGTAGAGAGGTTGTTTCCATGAGACCTCGGCTCAAGCTGCACAAATAGAATGACAAAAGAAGATATGGATTCACAAATGTTTTGGCTAATGAATCGTTTTTATTTATTGTTGATATTGATATATATACTGCAAATTGGAGTTGTGTAATAATTGCAGTGTACATGAATTAGCTATATTATGCGATTTCAACCCTCTTAACTAAGAATTTTGTGTCCACATATTGGTGCGAAAATCTATGTTATGAGCAATCTTGTAAAAAAAATCCTAATTAGGTGGCTATAGACCTTGGCAATTCCTGCAAATCGGAGGTGATTTGAGTGTTGCTACTTAGGCTAGATGGCTAATTTGGCGGATGGGTAACTTAGGCAGCTTACTAGGGGGATTCCCTGAGGAACTAGGTAGTTAGTTAGATGAGCTCGATAGAATTTTTTAGAAAACTCATCGTGGCCTAGTGATATTTGCAACCTTGGTTATAAGCATGACGATTCTCAGAGATTATGCAACATCACATGCATAAACTTATAATAGCTGAACATCAACATTTGTATTTTGCACAATCCATTTTTTTTTTAGATAAAGTCGTGCTTGTAAAACGACATGCGCTGCTGAGTGATAATTGTTGCCCTTGTATTGTGTCCAGGATCTCTATGGTTTGTGTTCGAAGAAAGGGGTTCATCTGGTTCTCCACGGAGCTTCTGGATTGTCCAAGGAAATCATCGAGGTATTCACACATATACCTCTTTAGTTTCACCTCAAGTAGATATTCTGACACATTTCCTCCCATTCCCAAAGCCACTGATTCATTCACTAATTGAAACCAGAGAAATGGTCTGAACTTGGGCTTTTTTTTGCTGTGCACAGGAGTGCATAAAGCTTGGAGTGAGAAAGTTCAATGTGAACACCGAGGTGCGTGAGGCTTATATGAACGCACTCAGTGGTTCCAAAAAAGACCTCATTCCCATGATCAAGTCTGCAAAGGAAGCCATGAAGGCCGTGGTTGCAGAGAAAATGCATCTTTTCGGATCATCAGGAAAAGCACATTGAAAGCTAAATTATGCATCATCAACACTCTTTGTTGCCATGGAAGTAATCGCCCCTCCCACAAAGTGTTTCATCTCTCCTCGATCTCAAACTCTAGTCTATGTTTGGTCGGTTTTCATCTCTCCTCGATCTCAAAGTCTAGTTTCTTCATAACTTGTTTGGTCAGTTTTCGAAAAAGACCGACCGAAAAAGTTATAAAGAACAACCGTTCAAGGTCTTTGGTGAGTCAATCAATGTTACTTGTGTAACCATTATCAACTAATTCCACCTCACTTTACCTTCTCTTTATTTGCATCGAAAACCCTCGCCTCCCTGTTACCGGACATACGTACTGTAAGACTACTTGCTACTCATTAGCTATTATTGAACCATGGAGTATCAAAATCATTAATGAATTAAACTCTGCAAGCAATTGAACATGGCGAGTTTGAATTTCAAAGACTAAAGAACAACATTATTGCCACTATAAATGTAGTGATTTTACTCCCAGAGGTCCCAACAAACGTTCTACTTGAAAATTTTAGCAAAACGGGCTAGTGAGCTCTCATTTTCTGGTAATATGGGCAAATTTTCAGGTAATTTGGTTGATTCTAAATGGATATGTGCTCACAGTAAGATCCATTGAATGTTATTTAATGGTAATGTGGAATTTCCTTAAAAGGGGGATGCACTTCTACATTGGGAACTTGATACAAAATTTTCTGTTTACTATTGCATCGTTAAACTTTAATAATTTTCTGTATTCATTTTTGTTATTCATTTGGTGGAATAATATATTCCGTAGTTGTGTCACCTCTTGTTGTGTAAAACTTTTGAGATAAAACTTTAAAGAAGGAATAAAACATTGAAAGTATATCAAAATAAGAGTTTCATGTTTTTATTTTCGAAATAGGAGTTGAAATACATTTACATTACTAATAATGACCATTTACATTTTCAAAAAATATAGTAAAATATCCATGTACAATCATTACAGTGTCACATTATCACAGTGCGAATTCGTATTTAAAGAAAAAAAATATGAAAATGCGTGAAATTTAAAGATCATTCATATGTATGGATTTTAAGTTATTTATTACTCCTAGTAAAGTCATTGGGAAAAGGGGAGGGATCATTTCTTATTTATAAGGAGCAAAATCAATATTTCTAGTCCTATTAGGCATGTGCCTTTTAAGACTTAGTAAAACTAAGAAATCAAATTTCTTTCTCTCTCCCCATGTTATTTTTGCCACCTTCTTATTGGAACATTCCAATTTATTTTATCTAACTTTAATTATCATACAATTGTATTTTAAGACTTACGAAAGAAACCAAATTTCTTTCTCCCCAAGTTATTTTCTCTGCCTGCTAATTGGAACTTTCTAATTTATTTTATCAACGTTAATTATCATACAATTATTACAAAATAAATAATATAACATTTTATATTTTTAGTGAAAAATGCAAGTTCCGGTATGGATTTAAATATTAGTGAAAATTGTCTTTTAAGACTCAAGAAAGAAATCAAAATTTTTCTTTCTCCCCTGGTTATTTTTACAACCTCCTTATTAGAACCTTCCAATTTATTTTATCAACTTTGATTATCATACATTTAACACAAATAAATAATATAACACTTTATATTTTTAGTGAAAAATGCAAGTGCTGGTATGGTTTTTAAGAGTTAGTGGGTGTTTTTTGTGTTGGTGTTTATCGTCTTTAAACATGGTACAAATTGACCTAACTTATTTTTGGCTTGAAATTACTGGATTTTGAACAAAGGTAATCTTGACCAAACCCGAAATAACACGCAAAAAATGGGTCAAACCCCGCCGAACATGGACTCGATCTAATCGACCCACTAACGTAAAAACTTTTTAAAATCATGTACTTTAATAAGGAAACTAATGTAATAAAAATAAGGTTTTAATAAAAGAAATGATAGAGGTAGAAAGCCATTTTAATATTTAGAGGATTTTTTAAAAAATAAAAATTCACGAAAAATAATCTAAACATTCATGTGTTGCGCAAAACATGTTATTTCCATCAACCAGCCGTTAGCAACTTAACGACTACCCAAAGCTCTCAAATTTAAGTAAAATTGGTATTATTATACATCACAGTGAAATGTGAGATTATTTTTCCGTGGACTTAAGGTCCATGCTTATTTTGTAGACCTTAATGTATTTGTAGCATAAAAGAAGTAAGCCTTTGCAAGAAAAGAAAACATGCATATGCAAGCCCATGAAAAATGTGAGAAGATCCAAATTCATTACTCTTTTAATATCAAATCCAGAGAGGAGTGATTATTATTATTAACATATTCAATCATTAGAAATATGAATGTTATAGTGCAAAATATTACATTTTTTCTGTATTTTACATAATAAGTTTATATAAAAAATGAATATAAGTTTTTTATGCTACAAAATATTACATTTTTCCCTAAATTTTTTTTTAAAAATTAGAAATTTGTGTGTACAATTGTCACAAGCACTACCTTTGAATTCTAGTTGCATGATACCTTAGACTATAGGGTGCCATCGTCAACATCCCCACCATCCCCACTTTCAACTCAGCGCCGCATCAATTTTTCCCATTTCAACCCCATTTCGTCCCCATCCAGGGGTGTCATCATCATTTCATCCTTGTTTTTTTAATTCTTTTTAAAATACTACTTTTATAACATTATATTTACATTTAATATTTTAATTTAAATAATTAAATAAAATAAAAAATTAAATATTAATTGGACACTTTAAGATCTAAAAATTTATATTAAGCATTTCATTCATTATAAATAAAAGAGTACAATTATGGAAAAAGGTACATAATTAAAATGAAACATTAATTAATTAAAGACTGATACATAATTAAAACAATGAAAAATGTAATTAAGAAATAATTATGAAAAAGCTAGAATTAAAAAGTTTCTCGTTCATAGACCAAATATGCTGTATCAAATCGCCGCGGAGGCGGTGATGCGTTTCCGGGTTATGTAATCCCAACATATTTGACTCTTATTGCACTACGCCAACCGACACAACATATCAACAACTTCATTTGGGTCGTACTCGCATAGCACGCCCTTCGCCTTCGAGTATCATGTTGTGTAACAAGATACAAGCATACATAATGCATCTAAATTGTTTGGGTGTGAAAGCAGGCACCGGATTTTGCACAATATGCCACCGCTTCTTTAGCACACCAAAGAGTCATTCAACATATTTTCTGCATACTTAGCTTATATACCATCGGCTAGATAGTAACCATGCTTGTACTCCACCCCTGACACCATAAAAGAAGAGTCGGGTGCAACACCCTCTAGGATGTGCGATTCAACACGTTCAAGTCGTTACTCGACCTCGCTACACAAAAAAATGCATGCCAGACCCAAAGATCTTGCAATGCCACAACTTCAAGCATTATTGTCGGATATTCGTGATCACTTCGTGTGTATTGACCACGCCACGAATTCAGGCAATTATGCCATGCCCAATGCATATAGTCGATACTGCATAACATTCCGGGGAATCCATGTTTAGCATTGTGGTCGGCGTATAACTTCTCAACGTCTCTTCGTGTTGGTCTACACAATTATATGCTATATTGCATGACGACGCACTTGGCAAACTAGTACAAATATTTCCAGGCCGTTCTATTTGACATCCGAAGGTACTCATCCCATGAATCACTACTTGTGTCGTACGCTAGTTGCCTTATTGCCGTTGTGCATTTCTGTAACGTTGTAAAACTCCTCTCCAATCTCACATCGGATTGTAATGTAAAAAATCAGTTTGCATTTGTCAAGCCATCGGTAATACGGAGAAACAATTGACGACTCATACGGAAACGACGCCTAAATTGGTCGCCAGTGTAGACGGGGACCCTCGCAAAGTAGTCGGAAACCAACTGCTCATGAACAACTACAAATTCAAATAAAAGAAAATATTAAAAATCAATGCGATAACAAAATAATCTTAAAATATAGATTATACGATTGAATACAACAAAATCATACCCCCTCTCGATCTCGGAGTAACGCTCGTTGTCTTCTTCGTGGCGCCGATGACTGTGTATTTTCATGCTGCACTAAAAGAATTTGTGTGGCGTCCTTCACCAAACTAAAAACAATTCCTGGGCTTCGTCCGAAGATGAAGAATAATTCATGGAACAAAATATTTTGTAAATGAAGAAGTATCTTTTTGGAGAATAATTAATGAAAGTTTAGGTAGAAGACGTGTGTTTAAATAAAGTAGATTTTTTTTGGACCTAACGATCAATTTTCGATTTTTTTAAAATTTTGCAACGGTCAAATATTGAAAAGAAAAAAGAGAGGGATGGGTGTCAGTTGGGGCGTTTGGTGTGTAGAGCATTCTGACATCGAACGCCAATCGGGGGGTGCTCCTGTTGGGGTCGGCTGCCATGTGGGCGACGCCAACTTCCCCGATCACCCGTACCCCATAGCCTTATGGTGGACGGGAAAAACTGGAATTTTGGTTCAGACAAGCTATGGCTCTAGACATTATGTCATTAGCATTACCTTTGAATCCGACATTAAGTAATCTGAAAAAACTATCAAATGATAGATTGCAATAATAATAATAATAATAATAATAATAGTAATAATAATAACAACAACAACAACAATAATAATAATATAATTCTGATTGGATCTGATCTGATTGATTTATCCTGATCTGATTAGATCTAATTTGATTTGATTGAGTCAGATCATGTTTGTTGTAGCAAATTAAAGCAATTGTGTTTCCATATTCTTTATTTAAAGCCCTCAATCCCTCCTCACGGCCGTACAACTCCTGCACCCGGAACTTCCGACCCTGCGACGCAGAACTTCCTTCTCATACTGTTTCTTGTTTCAGCTCCTTCAAGGTTTATAATATTGAATTTTCATTTCTTAGTTATCTCTCTTTATTCGATAATTGTGAATATAGAGACATTGGCCCCCTTTGGTAACAATTTCACCTTTTATTTATACCTTTAAAAAATTATCCAAAATTCCAAGAGTAATGGAAAATATTATTCCATGACAATGACTACTTCAATAGGTTAATTGGTATTGACTACGTCATATTAGATATTGTTATATACAACTATATAAATTTGTGTTATTTATTTATTTTATTGTTAAAAATATAATGTACATGTTCTTCGTTTATGAATATCTTTGCTAGTTTAAAAAAATTAAAATTAAGTATAGGGTTTTGCTAATGACAACCTTAAAGGTAGGATCGTCATTAGCAAAACCCTTATGCTCTATGTATAATATGTTTAATTGTTCAGCTTGCTTTGTTTTTAATTTAGGATGCAATTATATGATCAAAAGCAACCGAGATTTAAAGAGTTTTTTTTTGAAGACGAAATTTAAAAATTTCAAGAAACTGAATCTAATGGACTACGGAAGTCATTTACATTTGAATTCGAATGATCCTCCACTTTCATATTAACTCCCAAAACAACCCATTGAAATATTGTTCAATGAAAAAGTACACGAAGGAAACATTTATTTCCCATGCTAGTGAGTAGTGACCACACAAATGCTTATTTATTCAACACCATTTATTTCCCAAAGTGTGTTTAACTATGATTTCCATTACTTACCCTGCAGGATCAGTGGTCTTGGGAAGTGAGTGTTGGTATTCTATTGAGACTGTAGCAGTGAAGTCTGAGAAGTATCAAGCCGAGAATCCTTTGATATAGTTTGGGTTCTCAAGGTGTGTGTTTGGAAAGAGAGGGCTTGGGAGAGGTGATAAGTCGGGTTTGGGTTTGTTTTTTTTATGCATTTTTAATATTTTAATATTTTTAGAATTTAATTTTTAGTCTTTTAGCTTAGTTTTATTTTAATTCTTATTTTTACAATCTTTTATTTTTTTCATAAATACGGAGTAGTAGATTTTTAATCATTTTTTTACATGTTATTATTTTTTTTATTTTTTCTAATCTAAATTATCAAATATAGGACTAGGTTGGGAAAACCGAAAACCGCAAACCGAACCGAAAGCGATCGAAACGAGCTAGAAAAAAAACCGAACAGAAAAAACCGAAACCGAATGTAAAAAAACCGAACCGAACCATTAGTGTTTGGTTCCGTTTTGGTTTTCACTTTGAAAAACCGAACCGAATAAACCAAACTTTCTTAGATACTTCGCTTTTTTATATAAATATATGTGATATGTAGAAAAATCATAGAAATATAAATGCAAATAAATTACTAGTCGATTAAAATTATTTTCTTAACTATTAATTAAACATTTTAGCCATACTAGCTATTATAAACTTTTAAAAAAATCTAAGAATATAAACACCAATAGCTAATCCAAATAAAGAATTATATTAACATTAAATATTGATACGAGTAATTTACATATTTACATAAAAAAAATACTTTGATGTTATAATGAAAATGAAAGTATTATACCAAAAAACACAAATTCTTCGTAATTAATTTTACATACGATGTCTTTGAAAGTATTTGGAATCTCCTAAATGTTTGTTGGGTACTCAACACATATTTTTTTTATGTAAAATTGAACCGAATGATACAATAACCTTCCGTTTGATTTTTGTTTTTGTGTAAAACTCAAACCAAAAAACCAAACCTAACACAACATAGTGTTATTGCTCCATCGAGTTAGTGTTTTTACAATTTTTTAATGCTTATAAATTTCTACTTTAATAAACCGAAAAAACCGAAAAAACCCGAAATAAAAACCGTATAAAACCGAACCGAATAACCAACGGTTTACATATTTTTTATGCAAAACCGAACCGAAACGAACCGCCAATTTACCTTCCGTTTTGTCTTTGGTTTTGGGTGAAAACCGAACCGCAAAAACCGAACCCACCCCTAATCAAATATCTAATTTTTTGGAGAAAAATATAACAGAAGGCCAAAATTGAAGTTCAAGTTTAAAAAGGAGTAAATTCCATAAAATGTCTTCACTTAAAGGCCGTTTTACATATTTAGTCCCTACATATCAAATATTACTAATTTAGTCTCCAATTATTATATCTTTTTTCACGAATGGTCCTTTGTTAACGTTTTTGTTAAGAACAACAACATCAACAACAACCCAGTTAAATCCCACAAAAGTAAGGTCTGGGGAGGGTGTGTGTACGCAGACCTTGCCCCTACTCGAAAGTAAAGAGGCTGTTTCCAAAGAGACCCCCGGCTCAACGTCGAAAGTTGCATTGCTTGACTAACTGCTACTTCATTAATTAAAGAAGCGCAGACTGTTTAGAGATCCATTTTGATTTATTCCATCACACCCCAAAGCCAAAAAATGGTGAAATTTTGGCTCCATCGGAGATTATGGAAATATTTTTGTTAAGAACATGGATAAAATTGTATATTCATACTTATCTCTCTCCTCAATTAAGCTTCCTTCCTCCTCTCGTACTCTTTTCCAAACTCGTTGATGAGTTTGACACTCTAAACCCAAAACTGAAATGATCATTCCTCTCTCAATTATTAGTCTTCTTGGTGGAACCTAAAATCAAAACCAATAAGCTTTATGGATGAGTTTTATCGGTTAGTCACAAGAAATTTCAAAGAAAATAAACATTAAAACTCATCCATGAAGGTTACTGGTTTTGAATTTGGGTTCCACCAGTTAGACAAACAATTGAGAGAAGAGTGATGATTTCGGTTTTGGGTTCAAAGCTTCAAACTCAGCGACGGGTTTGGGAAAGGAGTGCGAGGGGAGGGAGGAAGCTTAATTGAGGAGAGAAAGGAGTGTAATTTACAATTTTATCCACGTTTTAACGGAAATGTTGACAAAGGACCATTCGTGGAAATGAATATAATAATTGGGGACTAAATTAGTAATATTTGATATGTAGAGACTAAATATGTAAAACGATCTATAACTAGGGATCTTTTATGAAATTTACTCTTTAAAAAGAAAAAGAAGATATTGATTTTGGATAGGAGCCCAAACCCAACATTAAAGAATCAGCCCAACACATCTCTCTCCCCTATTCAATTTCACGCAAGAAGAAAAAGAAGAGGAGATCGCCACTTCCGCTTCGGCCTCTTCTTCTACCGCAAGAACAGGCGGAAACCAAGCCTCCAACGTCTCTCCTTTTCTCCTAAGCTCCTCATTCAATTCAGCAAAGGCGGGAAATAGCGCTCCTTGCTGCTATAAATAGGCGACGGAGAAGAGGGGAGAACTACGACCAGACAAGGTAGAGCCGCGGCTCAGGCCGCGGTGGCGGTGGCGGACAGCCGGCAGACACGAACCGGCGGCGGCAGCAGTTCCGGCGGAAAGCTCCGGCAGAGGTTAGGAGGTTCCTTCAAGTTCTAATTTCTTCAATTTCTTCATCTTCTTCATCAATTGGTAACCCTTATTTGTCAATTTTATTTTTTTCTTATTGAATACTATGTAAAAGTTTGTTTTTTATTCAATTTTACATTTTTTGTTTGTTAGTTTGTTCCAAAAATTCTTAAAATATGGTTGGTGTTCTTTTATGGATTTTTTTAATGTTTATATTAAATCCCTTATGAATGAGAATTGATTCATACTAATTTTCTTCAATTATTGAGCAAGTTGTTGAATTGGTTGAATTGCATATTTCGATTTCATAGGTAGGGTTGATATGTGGAATTCGGTTTTTGTTGAAGCTATTTTAGCTCCATAAGGTAGTTAAATGAACTCCAGATTCATACATGATTCTTTGTTGTGCTTGTGTTTGTTGATTTTAAGGATTTTGGACTTCTTAGCCCCATAAGTTGATTCATTTTTCTTAGAATTCGTTATGGAGTTATTTTGTTATGTTTTTCGTATGCTTATTTGTTATTTTGATAAAGATTAAGGTTGTTTAAGCTCAAAAATAATTCTTGATTTATTGAAAACATGTTGTGTTTCTCTATGTGAATAGAAAAGACGTCATGGGTTTGAGAAGTTCATGGAAATATGTGAAATGTGCTCATCATTAGGAGAAAAAGTTTATTAAAATGCATAATGTGTTGGCAGTTTGTGAATAGATTATGTATGAGAGTTGAATGCATAATAGATTCTCTCTTTTATAAACTTTTTCTATAGTGGAAGTATGTTTTCATGCTTGAATAGAGAGTTAGGGTTCAAAAGTATATTTCAAAACGGGCCTTTGAATTGCATGACTCCGGGCAGTATGAAGAGTTGACAATCCTCCATATCGTGGTTAAGGAAATGAATCTACTCGGCCTTTGATTGATTTTTTCTATTCTTAAGTGCGTAAGTTACGTAATATATCGTCTACGTGCCTATTATACGTTTAATGTTCGGCTTATGTTTGTTCTCTTTTTCATTTTGTTTCGGGTTCTTGGTGGTGTTTCTTGGATTACCTAAGTTGGAGAAGTTGATTATCTTTAGAGCTTGTTTTTCCCCGTTTTATCAAAAAAACCAAAAAATAAGAAAAATCAAAAAATCAAAAAAATATTTACTTTTTATTCAAACTCCCCCCCCTTTGTGTTGAGTTTAAGTTATAGTATAAGTTCTTCGTTTATAAGTTATTTATAAGTTTTTATATTTATTTAATTATAAGTTTTATACGTCTTATCATATGTGTAGTAGTTAGTTTGTTTTATTTAGTGACAATGTGTGTGCATGCTAATTTGATTTCAAAAGTACGAACATTCTCCGTGGGATCGACCCTTACTTGCCCTAGGCCCTAGCTATAGTTTTTTTATTATATCTTGGGCGTTAGCTAAGGATATTTATAAATTTTTAATTTGTTTTGGACCGCACGACGGGTCTTCAACAGGGGGGGGTCATCCAATTTTCTGTGAGGAAGGGGTTTGCTGGAGTATTCACCCGCAGTTCCTAAGTTGTTACACTTTTTGGTAGTTAGTAACTGTGAAAAGAAACATGCATGACAATAATAAAGTAGAGGCAACCTCTGAGTGTGGCTGGAAAATTGTTCACATTCCGTATAAACCTCCCGTTCTGCCTCACGTACAACCCACTGGTATGCTAGTTTGACGGTATTGCTCTCTCAAGTTTTGTTGATCTGCTACATTTATTATACTTGTATTTGATTCCTAAATTTTTTTTATACGCATTTCAGTTGATGTGTATGCTGCTGAAATTGACCCTAAAGATGCCAATATTTTAGTAAGGTCAGCTATACCCCTGATAGTCTTATTCTTTACAATGTAATGTGTTGTTTTAAATGAGCTGAACCACATCAAGTTACAATTTGTTACCTCAAGATAGGCAAGTTCTAAATTTAAGATTGTGCTTTCACTTTTTTTCAATCTTTAGGAAGTTAAATCAGATCTGCCCAATGGAAAATATGCGGCATGTAAAGCGTATACGCAAGAAATGCAATGATGGAGGTGGTAAAATACTTTATTCTTGAGATAATGTGAAATGCAAATTCATCATTTAGTTTTTTTGATGACCTTTTCAACAATAATCGGCATCTGACAGGAAAACCTCAGTTATCGTTGCTTTTATCAGTGTCAAATGAAGATACTGGTGGCATGCCATGCAATGTGCAGGAGCTTGTTAAAGCATACCAATTGAATACCTTCATACAAAAAGTGAGTCACCTATATATCTTTTAGATCACTATTCCTAGGGATGGGCAGTTTTATGCATTCTTCCTAAGGTCTTAACTAGTTCATGTTTGATCTCTATATGCGTTTGTTGATCAAGAACATGTGCCTAATTGCACATGCTTAATATGCTAATGGTTGATCTTGGTTGGGTTAAGGTTCAGAACTTTTGGGTTTTGTTAAGGTTCGGTCCTTTTGATTTTTGGGAGCCTTTAAATTTATATTACATAAGAGTATATTAGCACTTGTATATGACATGATAAACGAAAATATTTATAAAATTATACTCCCTCTGTCACAAAGTAAGTAACACGGTTTCCTTTTCAGCCAACCTATATACTCCCTCCGTCCCATATCTTTCTTTTCACTTTCCTTTTTGGTCGTCCCACTTCTTTCTTCTCATTTCCTTATTTAGCAAATAAATTGTATCAAAAAAACTATTCTACCCTTCACTTTCTATCTTTCTTCCTTTCCTCTCTCCCCTACCCATCCCGTTTCTTCTCCCCAATTTCTTCTTTCTTGTTCTTTATCAGCCCCCACCACCCACTGTTCCCCTTTCTTCTTCCCCTTTCATCTATACAAAGAAGTCATTTGCTTCCTCAAAAGTCAAGTTACTCCTTTTCTATCTCACCCATGGCATCCCACCTCTGTAAATATTTTCCTTTCTTGCGCGGCTTTGAGCTTGAGGGAATGTAAAAAGGTGTTCCAAGAGGCTGCGGATCCAAGCAGCGCGAGATTTTTTTCCCGATTTCGTTTTGTATTTTGACAGATCTGCTCATCGCCTTCCTTTTTTGAATCTAGGTTTCCAGAGAGGACAACGATACGTGGGTTCGAGACAGATCTTGTCTTCATCTATTTGATTTCTTCTTTTATATCTTTCAGTCCTTATTCGATTTCATTTTGTATTTTGATTTTGAGACAAATCTATTCATCGTCTTCCGTTTTTTCGCATCTAAGTTGCCAGAGAGGACAACAGTAGGTAGGTTTGAGACAGACCCTTCTCTTTATCTCTCAATTTCTTTTCATTGCTTTCCTCTTGTTCGCATCTAGGTTGCAGAGATGGCAGAGATGAGGGTGGGTGTGAGACTGGAAAGACGAAGAGGATGATCGCAGTCGACCCAGTGACAAAATATTGAAAGGACAACACTGGAAAGTCAATGCAATTTTAACATTACATTAAAAACCATGCTAAGTCAAATTGAGAAGTTTCAACTTGGACGGAGGGAGTATACTCATTTCCTTTTAATTTAAGATGGAGGGAAGTATAAATGTAAGTAATTATGAGGGCATTCAGTGGCGATTGAGCTAAAAGAATCATTTTACTGTGTTTTCGGTCCAGGTAAACGATGGACTATATCAAATGGCACACTAAACCTCCCTTACTTCTTGAGCTCTGTGAAGTTTTGGGTTGTAAATGTAGCAATGCATCAAGTGTGTTACTGAAACAACATCTCTACTTTTTACATGTAAGGTTGTGTACATCTCTTCATCTCCAGCCCCAACAGGGTTAAAATTAAATGTAATGGATTATAGTAGGCTTGTTGTCTTAAGCTATTATAAGGCTATTTTATGCTTTTCATTTGCAATTCTAATTATATTTGAGTTTAATCCCATAACCTAACTGAAGAAAAAATACAGCTGGTACTCCCTCTGCCCTTAAAAGAAATATACATTCATTTTTGGCATCTGAAAAGGAACTGTACACTTCTCCTCTTTCACTTTTAGAAAATAAATGCGGCCCTTGTTATTTCTTTATGTTCAAAATAAATTTCAACCACACGTTTTACTTTCACCAAAGACCTTTCACTCAATACTTATCTTAAACCACGTGAATCAAACTATCAAGCTCATTTAGGAATGCAGGGAGTGTGTCTGTGGGTTAGGTCAAATCAAAAGTGTTCTTCCCGTGAAAGATGTGAACAAATGCACTTATTCTTCGGTTTGATGGACCTAAAATGCACCATTCTCATTTCTCACGTAAAGAATCTATTCTTACCTAAACTGCACCCTACCCCACACAAAACCTCCATCCTAGAGTATTCATCCAATTTGACTTTTTTGGGTCAAACTAGACAAACTTTGATCATCAAATAAACAGATTTTTCATTGGATATTATTACCAAAATGAGTTTAATAGATATATCTTGCGTAGAACTATAGAAAATTAATTCATTGTAGTAATTTCTGGGATCCAACTGGGTTGCTGTTGTTGTATCGATATGTAATGCAAATTTAAAATAATTGATGATTAATGTTTGACTCAAAAAAGTCAAATTGGATGAATAGTCTAGGGCAGAGGGAGCATATAAGAGAAGGGTTAATGTTACAACAATCATTCATGCTTTAGTTTTTGCTACACCTATATCTCTCATATGGATTAATTTCATGCATAACTCACTGTATGATTGGAAGGTGGCAACACATAGATTGTCGTCCTTAAGTTTTAGAACAATCCAAAATGGTTTCCTACAAAATTGGCTAACTTATTTTTTTATATGTTTTTTAACTCAAGCTTGTAACTGTTGGCTCATGAAAGGTTTTATAATCTAACACGCCCCTCACGTGTTGGGGAAGATTTGTTTTTGCTTGAACCTTGCACGCGAATATTAGGTTTTTATACTAAATGACAATGAGATTTGAACTCGGTAACCTTTAGGCCAACAGGACTCTGATACCATGTTAAGGAACCAAGTCAACCAACTCAACCACAAGCTCAAGCTTGTGATTCTAGGCCTAGAAAATATTTTATACTCTAACAAAGAGATACAAGCATTCTATGAATTGCTGTATGAACAATTCTTGTAGCGCGCACACACACACACGCACACTAAAAAGTTTAGACAAGAAAACAGTCTACATCAAAATGAAGTAAGAATGAAATAACATAATAGTATGGTTCATTTAGAAGAGGGCTTACCTCAATGGGTCGGTGAGGTGCTTGGGTTCAGACACTTGACTAATTTGTGTCGGGGTCATTTAGGCCTCACAAAACCCTTTTTGAAGTCCATCATGTTGTGGTCGGGTCGGGTCTCAGTTAAAAAGCAAATAGTGTACGATTTTGGCAGATCTACTAATTATATATAGTATCCAATTATCAGTTTTATTTTTGTCAGCATGAACTATTCTGCTCATTATTAAGTTGCATTTTAGAAATCTCAGTTCCCAAGTGTTATTGTAATTTCTTTTGCTAATAGTTTGATGATTTTAACATTCTTTTGGTATATTGCTACTATCTGCCTCCAAAGCTCACCTACTCCTGTAATTTAATCAATTTGATCTGTTTATACAAATGGTCCAGGCCAGCAAAGTGCAAATATTTCTGTAATTTAATGAGTTTGATTCAATTGTCCAGGTCTGCAAGTATGCTGCATCAACAAAAGAAGAATGGGAAGAACAGTGTAAGCTGTGGCCGACTTCCTTCCATCCACCAACATAGTGAGTTAATAGATTTTGAAGCTCGAAGGATTTTCCTTTTCATTAATTTTTTTAGCTCTACCTCTGTTATTTTAATCTCATTATACATTCTTCCTACTACAGTAATATCAGTGGAATAACAGGATTTGATGAAGTGGAATCCCAACTAGTCTTCAGCTTCATGCGATTGGCAATCAATCTAGCAAAATCCATTGATGGCCCGGTAAATGCTTCTCCCTAAGCACCTTTTCATCTTTAGGGACATGTCATTTTCATGTCAGATCCTCTGGTTTTTATTTGTTTACCCAATCACTCCTTAGATTAATTTTCCCATATAAAGAAGAGAGTTATTTAAGATTTACTGGAACAATTAGTAACCACCATAATTCTTTTATAGTTTTATCTGGAAAACATGTAAATTGACTTAATTTTTTGGTTTAAACCACTGTTATAGATTAATTATAGGCAATTTGTTTGAATGCTTATTGCGTAGCCTAGTTACACATTTATGCGTAAGCTTCAATTTCTGGTTCAATAATTACTAGAGTAGTATTAAAAGGCTGGTGAATCAATATAATAAAAGATTCAACAAGTTCAAGCTTAACTACCTATCAAATATTGCATAATTGAATAAAGTTTAAAGTGCATTTGATGGAAGAAAGAGAAATGGCATCATCACTAGCTATTGACTTGATGTTGGGATCAAAACCACTATTGCCCCAAATTTCCAAATTGGGGTTCTCATATTATTCACAAAAAGTACATTATTATTATTCTTAATTAGATGTAATATTGAGTTACTTTTAATATGAATAATTACGAGTGTTTGTTAATTAATTTAATGTAATTCCAAATTTTTAGTTTTAATCTTGTTATTTTTTTGCATTCGATTTTGATTTATTTGTGGTTACATATATAACTGTGGTGATAGATTGTAAGTGTGAGGTGTTTTCTAACACTAAAAATAAGGCGTTGATACGTATTTGATTTTTGAGTTCAGTCTTTTAGGTCCAGTCTAGGACCAAATACCTTTAGGTCTAGTCTTCGGTCCATAATTTTTTGAGTTTTAGGCCCAGTCTGTATTGAGTTCACTTATAATATAAATAATTAAAATTAACTAAAAATATGCGTTTTTTATTTTTTACATATGATTTCTGTTTATTCATGGTTACATATGTAACTGTGGTGGTAGATTGCGAGTGTGAGACGTTTTATAACATAAAAAATAAGGTGTTCACACATTGGTTTATGAATCCAGTCTTTTAGTGTTATGTACCTCAATCCTCATCCCTTCAAAATAACTGCAACACTTGCATTTTCACATTTGTCGATGCCAAATTTAAATCATTAACATCTACAATTATGTTTTAGTGAAGATTATGAAAAAATATATTATTAAAGTTTTTATAGAGTTGCATCTAACAAGATCCTGCATGACTTTATTTTTACTTAATATAGATCACAAAATATACGGAGTAGTCGAATATTAGTTTGAATAGTGTAATTTTTTTTACTGTTCTAATTGCTTTGGACAGAGGAAGTTTCTTATTATGTGCCGCTTCTACTATTATTTTGTAAATGAACCTGATTACTACAATTGTTGTTTTAAATTTCACCTCACGTGTAGTCGCACTAACTTTACATTCATATACAGAGTAAGTTCCCCCCCCCCCCCCNATTGTTTTCTGTTTTCTGTGATTTTTGTTCAAAAATGTATATCAATTTTTAATTGAATAATAATATGTGAATATCATAATGCCCTTGATAGTTTTAGATTTCAGTGTAATTTGTTTCTACAAAAGTGTTCTCCCTCCGTTCACGAAAACTTTTGTTTGCGTATGCTTTTTCATTGTCCATTTGATAAAATAAAATATTCTTGTCACCACTTGTTTTGTAGAACTTTTGATGTAATTTTTAAATATGTAATTTGTACTTTTTATTTCCTTACCAATTTGTAAATAAAATCAATTTAAAAGAGAAGTTATTTAGCACGTTTTCAAAAAGGAACGATAAATTTGGGACTGAGGGAGTAGTTTGAGTTTTAATGGTTAGTGAAAGCCAAATCAGTATTGACTCCTTCCGTGTGTACTAGTTTTATGTTTTAGTTTCTCAATTTTGAGCTCTTGATCCACATTGCTATTTTTCTTATGGTTTTATATCATGTGATTTTTTAAAATTATCATTTTGGTTGTCTGTAGTTTTTGTTCCTATGTGTTTTGTGCAGTTGCCGGGGGTCTCTTTGGAAACAGCCGCTCTACTTTCGAGTAGGGGTAACGTCTGCATACACACCCTCCCTGGACCCTACTCAAGTGGGATTCAACTGGTTGTTGTTGTTGTTGTTGTTGTTGTTGTGTTTTGTGCAGTTGAATCATTCTGTCTTAAGTTTACTTGTGTCATTTTCCAAGTCCTAAAATTAAAGTTTAGAGAGGATACATAAAAATATTGTTGACCAAATACTTTTTGCATTGGGATGTCGTACAGTCGTCAAGTTATTAATATCAAGTGACAAAATCGCAATTGAAACAAATATATTAGTGTGAGACCCTTGTGGGTTGTTGCGGCATATTAAGTTCACCTGTATATCACTGGAAAAAAAGTTCTGCAAGTCTTGCATCGTACTCCGTAATATTTAAGACACACACACACACACAGTTCGGTTTCTAAGTGAAAGTTTTCTACAGGTGATCAATGCTGCCATCATTGTGGACCCTTCCACTAACCAGGTGATCTCAAGTGCATGTGATGAAGTTATCTCTTTGAATAGTTCCAGAGATGAGGCCAAGGAAGGCATATGCTGCTCAAGGCAAGCCGAAGCCTCTTCGCACAACAAAGCAACTGATATGGAGGGCCAACCAAAATTGGTGGCAGACGATTCAACAAATGGAGCTCTGTCGGTCAATGATAATGTTTCATGTCTACATCCCTGGAAATGGGCAGCGGATAACCAATTTAGTGCCAGCTTTGGTTTTTGGCATCCTTTACGGCATGCACCAATTGTGGCTATTGAACGTTCCGCTGCAAGGGATAGGCAACTTTTTACAAATACAGGAATTAATTTTGTTCAAGAGGATTACTTGCTGGTTTCTCCTCTTGTCGGTTCTCCATCAAAAAAGCAAAAGGTCAATCCAATCGATGTTGTAAGTTGCCTGTTTCTCTTTTTTTTTTTCCTTCTTTCACACAGCATCTATATCTAATAGCAAGCGGTGTATGAAAACTTGCATACACATTAAATTGATATGAGAACCACTTCTTTCAGGCGAACAGTTTGGATACTCAAAATGTAAACCATTCTGAGTCATACAGACCCTATTTATGTACAGGCTATGACATCTACCTTGTCTGGGAGCCATGTGTCATGTGAGCTCCTCTCTCTCTCTCTCTCTCTCTCTCTCTCTCTCAGACACACACACACACAATCCCCTCATTTATTTTGGTTTGAGATGCCATTTTTTGCATTCTAAGTTGCCAAGATATCTATACTTTGTTAAAATAACATCATCGTCTCGGCTCTCCCATTAGAGTCCCATGTGCTTATGCCGCCTTGACATGATTTTTTTTGGCTACTCGAATGATTTTATACAATTAATAATTTAACCTCACCTACCCTAACTGGTTGGCAATAAGTTTATGACAATGACGAAGAAAAATCCGGAATCTAATTGTACCTTTGGTGTTCCTTTTTGGCTATCTTGATTACTCTCTTGTAGGTGTGCAATGGCCCTAGTCCATCAAAGAGTTAAGCGTATCTTTTATGCTTTCCCTAATCCTAATTGTGGTGCATTGGGAAGTGTTCACAGATTACAAGGGGAGAGAAGCTTGAATCACCATTATGCTGTTTTCCAGGTTTTGTTGCCCCAAGATGTTTTTTAACGTTAAGATTCCTTACTCATTAGATTCAGGAACTACTTTGAATCGATGAGAATCGAAATTCAAGTGTATCATTTAAGCAAATATATACTCTGGCCAATTTTAGGGTCTAATGCTTCTAATATGTGTACTTATCATCATTTTTTTAAAAAAAATCTTGTAGTTGTCCTCAAGTCGTATAATTTATTTTTTGTAGAATTTGTTTTTCGTGTACTGACTTCTATTATGCAACTGGGGATTATGTTGAGTTTGTGTTGTTGTACTGATTAGTACCATATCTTTTCCATCACTGGACATTGTTCCTGCTATTAGGCATTATTTAACTACAATTTAAATGATATATGTTTTAGTACGGAGTACTATTTAATTCAAATTTTACTTCGGGGGTGTTTGTTTTTTGGTGGGAAGAGCTTCTAACCACTTATGTCTGCGGTGCCGTGCAGATGCGGGCGGACATTTGGGATGCGCAGACTGTTTGCTTTTTAGAAGACAAACCACTTAAAAACGTCTTCCAAAAACATCTTCCTCAAGCAAGCATAAACCAACATAAACCACTTGATATCTGAGTTTATTTTCCCTATAATTAAGAATGGCACAATGATTTTGTTGGGAGTGCACGTGACTCGTCCAACTTTATATTGATATGATATTGTCTGTTGTATGTCAAGCTCTTATAGATTTATTTTTAGGCATCTCTCAAAAGTCATCATATTAATAGAGTTGGTCTTATTTGTTATTTTAGTTATTCTAGGCATTTAGCATTTGAAACCGCTTTAGGCTCTGCTTTTTCAGTTGGAATTCTCAAGTTAGATGTTGGAAGAAATCAGAGTTAGAAAAAACTAGAATGAATTTTAAAATTTAAAAAATCACTTAATTAAATGATCACCAAATAAAAATGCAAAAAAAACTAATTTTGGATACAAAATAAATTCATCTTTGTCCATGTTTGAAATGTTATGTTCTAAATTTGGATAAATAATGTTATTGTAATAAATAAAATTGACTGAAAGAATGTAATCTAGGAGTAGAGAAATTTCAATTGTATGATCGTGCCACATGAGAGATGGGTGTTTTCTGAATGCCTTCCGGAACCGCGGTGATACGGAATAATAACACTACGCTTTACTCTCTTCTTTTCAATTAGAAAAATTAATTTTCAATTTTTTTTAACACTTCCCAATTTCTTTCAATTTTTTACTTCTTCCCATTTCTTTCAACGACGACTTAAACTTTTGTACTTTTATATAATTAGAACCACCGAATACTAGTCATAAGATTGATAGACTCATTAGTATTTTAAAATAAAAAATGCCTATGTTTCCTCTATAGTGTTTTTGCCTGGATTTTATTCAAACTCCTCATCTTCTCAGGGCCAGTAAGCACTCAACCGAGCTTTCTTTTCTTTTTAAAACATTCCATGAAGACCTTATTTTTACCTCAATCTAATTGATTTTTCAAAGAAAAAAATAGCATGTAAAGCATCCATTGTCTAAGGGCTTAAGCAACTGAGCTTTTAATAATAATATCTTAAACAAAAAAGAGATTCAAACATCTGTGAATCACCTCCAAACCAAACCCTAAAATTGATGCCTCTTTTTGTTTTTAGCTGTATCTGAAATTATGTACATGTATGCCTCATCTAATTCCATTCTTCATCTAGAGATATAGAAAATAAATTACTTTTACTGCCTAATGCTTCTATTCATCATAGTGATTGTCTAGAATATGACAAATGTAGTTTTTTTCTTTTGGAATGCGATTGATTTGCTACTTTTATGTGTGTGATTACATTGGTAGCTTCTTTAACATCAATAGGCTCCTTCCTAAAAAACATCAATGTGCTTTGTACATTTTATTCCTGTTTGATACAAAAAGGTCGTTCTCACATTTTTCTTTTTCTCTAAATGAAGATTGCTTTTTTTTGGGTTTATGTTGTATCATTTTCTTATTTTTTTGGTATACAATTTTATTGCTATCATGTTCTAAAATCCTTTATTCTATAAATATAATTAGTCATGTGCTTTAGACAGTCCAACTCCATTGCTATTAGTACTATCATGTTTTTATTTATCCAAAAGCAAAAATACTAGATGGAGGGCCAACTACAACTTCAAGAGCATGGACTTGTTCCATACTACATCGGATGTAGTACTTGCAACTAGGAAGTTGACTTCGATATACTATTTCCCTGCATGCAGTGCGGAGACAAAGAAGCATCAACTGCAAAGAGGTTTATACGTTAATCATCTTCAATTACACACAACACTTTCACTTGTTATTCCACTCTAACGCGGTAAAAAAAATACAAGTTCAGAATCTCTGCCGAGATAGGCGATGAAACGAGAACAATACAATTCACCCTCTTCACAGAAGATATGAAACAAATAACACGATCACTTGAACTTAACACAGCATTGGAATTAATTGACACTGACATTCTGAACAAAGGTCTCAGGTCATTCCTCATCACAATTGCTGTCAACTTACAACCAGCGACATACCAAAGAGGGGATAAAATGTTTTCATTATTGTGCCTCCATGAACTCTCTTACCAACACACAAAGAGTGCACTTCTCAAGAGAAAACAAAGAGCTGAAAGCAAAGATGACTGACATGTGCAGGGGAAAAGAAAAAACAATTTCAAAGTATGTGGCTTCAGCAATGAAACTACCATCCGTAATGAAAATGACCTGATAACACATCACTAACCCCTATGCAGGTCATTTTCAGATTTTTTCAAATAAGTTTTAGCCTTAACATCCTGTAAAATATATGTTAACTCATGTTCCCTCAACTTTTTTGTCACATAAGTTGTATGGCTCTAATCATGTAAAATACTGCACCCCTCACACCTTTTATCAAATAATATAAAGCATGTTAACTGCGGATAAACTCATGTTCACTTGAACACTGTATCTTAGGATATCTGTAAGAACTAGAAACATGCTTTGACTCTTAAGAAATGGAAGCATTTCTTACACATGCTTAGGCAAAGACACACGTAGTGTGTTACCTGTTTCTAATTATAATATACTCCATATGTAGTATTCACTATTGAGGAACAAAAAAGAGAGAACATGAGTATTGAGTATTATTTGTTGTGCGAGTACAAAGAAGAAAACGAAGCATTGTATTTAGGCAGCTGCAATCGTCAGTGCCGTCGTTCCTTCTACTCTTGGTTGGACTGATTTGTTTTGTCAATTTTAATTGTTCAATTGATCGAGGTGACTTGTGGTTTATCTCTCGTTAGAATTGATTTTTAGATTAATATTCATTAATATATTCTCGTTCAATTGATGTTGGATCTATGATTATTATTATTAAATTAATAGATTAATTGTGTAAATTGAATGTATTTGTGTTATAATTTATACGATGATAAATTGAGAATAATGAATTCTGATTGTGGAATAAGTCACCTAGTAATACTATACATATCTGAATTGAATTGATGAGAATAATAGATTTTGAGGATTTAGGCCTAATGGGGCGAGCTTAGCATAACTCAGAAGTCTTGGGTTAAAAACGTACGAACGGGAGTTCGGGACGTATCTGGCAGTGTCAAGTAGGGGGCTCCAACCCACCTCAGAGAAGTTCTTTGTGTTTTTTAGAGTGGCTCCAGACAGTGTCTGGATGTCCATGACTCTAGTCTCATGTGGTTAAACCTTAGCCTAGTAGGTTAAGAGTAAAAGAACAAATAAGCTCTGAAATGAAATAAATAAATAGTTCATCATGACATTCAATAATGATATTTGTTGATTCTTCAAATATTGTGAGATTATATATTGATGGATGCTAGTTTATCAATTAGTTCTAGCGTTAGATACTTCCACGCACCCAATTTTTACAGATAGGGGTCAACGATTGGATGAGAAGCAGCCTAGAGACAGTGAAGCGTGACACTGGTAGATGGCCCGAAGTTGTTTGAAATTGAGTTAAATGCTTGTTGACTTTATTTTGTTTAAACTACAAGAATGTTTGATGATTTTGCTTTAAAGTCATCGACAACGTTTGTTTTATTTACCCCAATTAAGCTATGAATTGTTTTAAAATAAATATGAATGAATGTCATATTTTAAATATTTTAAAATATTGTGCATGTGAATCACAAATTAGTAGTCAATCTGATTCACTAACTCGTTGGTTTGGGTTATGCGTGTTGGGGTGTTACAGTTTGGGTATTTATAGGGATGGATTAAGAGCGGTTTCGTTTGAAAAATAGTTGTTATAAAAGAGTAATTAACTCCTAATACCATAATTAAGGGAATCAAAGCGTTTGGGTACAAAAATCAAGGAATGGTGAAATCTAGTCTATGAACGGTCCATCACATCGACCGTTTTAAGTGAAATGGTCGCCCGTTCCGAGTGACGGTCAGGTTCCACCCAACGGTTAATCAAACGGTCGACCGTTCTGGAAAAACGATTCAATGGGTGGACTGTCGTTTTCCGAGCGCGCAATCTTTCCAACGGTAAGTGAAACGGTCGACCGTTCTGTAGAAATGATTCAACCTTTGGACCGTTGTATACGGCGTTGGGAAGATTACAATGGTTGACAGTAGAAGTGCGGTAAAAGTGTGCCTATTTATTTATTTTTTAATTTTAATTTATATTTGTATTAAATTTTTTAAAAGCTTCTGTTTTGGATATATTTAAAATGTACTCCCTCCGTACAAAAAGAATGGAATAGATACTATTTCGGTCTCTTGATAATTTTTGTTTGTTTACTCATTTTCGATGACCATTTGATAAAATAAAATATTTTTGTCGCATCTTGTTTTATAGAACTTTTGATATACTTTTGAATGGTGCAATTTATACTTTTATTTTCCTATCAATTTGTGAATAAAATAATTTTAGAAAAGATGATATTTATGTACATTGTTCAAAATATGAAAAACAATTTGGAATGGATGTAGTAGATGATGAGTGCTTCTTTGGTGCATATCAATTGTGTGGGTTTTCTTACACACAAAAATATCTTTTTAATTAAAAAACAAGTGCTTATTTAAGTAATAGATAAATACTTATTTTGCTCATATGTAAATTCATGATGGATCTTGGGTCCACCATAAAATTTGCCAGTAGTAGATTAAAGAATGCTACATATACTCCATATTTGTATTTCAGAGCATTACCCTAACATTAAATGTAGGTGCAACATTGATATAATACCAATTTTGCACCTACATTTAATGTCAGGATAATGATTTAGAATACAAAGTAAGATACAAATATGGAGTATACGTAGCATGCTCCTAGTAGATTAGTGACCATAAAATTGGGTAAGGTGCACCTAGAGATTCACTAGTTGTTGACTTGTTGTGCTGATACGCCGTTTTATTTGTAGCAACAAAAACGTTTCTTTCATTTAATGACTTATCATCCTTATCTTCGAAAAAACCCGACCCGTTATATCTGTGCTGGAGTCCTGATCCTTTGCTTTATCCTCTACTTCAGATACTCTCCTGCTGCTGTCTACCCCTATTCATCATCTCTCCTCAAAGTTTTCGAATTAAAAATGGCGGAACCAAAGATCTTTGAACTCGACAATGGCACCATGCGAGTCAGAGTCTCCAATTTTGGGTGCACAATTCTCTCCTTGTCTGTCCCAGATAAAGACGGTAGCTCTATTTATTTGTTTTTTTTTAAATATGAATCTGTTCAGATGACTTCTTTTTTCATTTTTCTGGTTTCTGAAAGACATAATTTTCATTTGATTCCTTGTTGGAATGGATTTTGAAGGGAAAATGGATGATGTGGTTCTTGGATTTGACACGCTTGAACCCTACATGGTGAGTCAGTGAGGGGCGATTTTCAGATTGTCAATTTCTCAAGAATCCATTTGATTTGATTCTGTTACTTGTTTCTCATTTTTATGAGCATTCATGAGAGAATGGGTTTTGATTTGCTGCTGGATGATCATCAGATTAATATGGCCTATTATTTGATTTGATTTTTGTTTGCTTTTTTTTTTTTGTTCAGAAAGGAGCTGCCCCTTACTTTGGCTGCATTGTTGGCCGGGTGGCCAACAGGATCAAAGATGGGAAGTTTACTATTAACGGGGTTGAATATTCTCTTCCAATTAACAAGCCACCAAATAGTCTTCATGGTACTAATATCTCTGCAATCTCTTAGGCCATGACATGTTAGCGAACCACATTTTGGTTAGCTATAGCATGATGCCATTTTTTCAGTATTTTCACTTAAAATAACCCTTTTTGCCTGTCAAAATCTTATTTGAAGTGTTTCATAAATTAGCATTTTGAATTTGCAAAAAGCCTAGCTAATTGGATTTGAAAATGCTTATATGGTCAACATAAACAACAACAACAACAACCCAGTTAAATCCCACAAGAGTAGGGTCTGGGGAGAGTGTGTGTACGCTCTGGAACGGGGATGAGCTTTCATCTCTCCGACAAAGGTTTCTCTGGGGGCCGAGTTGTAGCTTTCAACGTCACAAACTGATTGACGATGAAGTAATTAATTTCTTCGCGTCTATCAAATCTCTAGGTAAAACTAAATAAGGTAGTGTGGGGTTTCGGTTTTTACCACTTTAAAACTGAGGTAGTCTGATGATGGAAAATTATATGGTCAACATTTTGAAAAAAAATCATTTTGGACTTAGCTTTTTAGATTTAGTTTCTAACCTTTCTATTAAGTTACTAAACTTCATCTTATAAGTTGTTAGTCAAATATTCTAATACAAAATGTGAACTGCGATGTGCTATAGTTAACTGCTCACTGCTGTTTGCTAATCAAACTCTTAGTATTTTCCCTTAAAATGGTTCGCTATGCTCTTATGAGTAGGCCTTCATGTTTGATTTTTTGTTTAGAGGGGACATTGGAGGGATAGGGAAGTTATTATATTACTCTGTAGTTAGTATGTAGAGTAACATGCCTGACCTCATGTCTTCCAGCAAAAGAGCTGGAAACGGCGAGCTTTTGGGGGACGCAGATCATATAGACATATAGTAGTTAAGACTCCGGGTTGCCATTTTTACCAAATGGACATTGTGCGGAGGAATTTACGATATTGATAGAAGTTTAAAGTCAAGTATTTGAAATTAGACTGTCTAATGGTCAAAGAAGGAAGAGGGATTTAAGAGTGGAAAGCAGGCTTTGTAAGAATATTTTGGATTATGACTTCTTAAAATTTAAAGTTTGGAATACAGAGCTAGTTCTATTTGAAACCAGACTTAAGATTTCTTAGCAATCGTTAAAACTACCTCCTTAAGAGTTACAGAGTATAGGGTTAAAAACTTTTGTAACTTCCAAATCTATGCAGCATATGTCTGTACCTCAATTTTAAAGCTGATTCATTGTTTGGGATCACTCACTAGAGTACCCTATAGAACATACGAGATGTTATGAAGTGCATTATTTTAAATTCGACATAAATGCCAAACTTTTTTTTTTTGAAATAATTATTCGTGGGTATGGCATTTGAATGTGTGTGCTTATGTTGGAGCTTGGAGTGAACTTTTTCTCTGAGACATGGATGTTTTCAGCACTATTCTTGTGATGTAACCTCATTCATCATTTGTTCAAATTGCCTATGCATTCATGTTAGTACTACAACTATTACAAGACGACATTTCTTGTGATTACCATATTTGTCCTTGTGTTTATCTGAATTGTGGCTGAGGAATGCACATTCAAGTGTTTTCTTCACTTAATTTGCTCCAAAATCACTAGAGGAATAAAATAAAGGACGTAGGTAGTTAAATAGGAGTTTCACTTTTTTAAAATAAAAACTATCTGTTGAAGGCGGACACAAGGGTTATGACAAGGTCTTATGGGAGGTAGCTGAACAGAAGCATGGTGACACTCCATCAATTACCTTTACATATCATAGCCATGATGGTGAGGAAGGTAGTTCACTATTCTTTCTTTTTTGAATGTATTTATTACTCCCTCCTTTTGAAAATACAAATCCACCATTTTTTGTGCATCTCACAAAACAACATACCCCCAAAATAACTTCTACCTGCAATAATGGGAATTGGGGTGTATTTTAGAGATTTTAAACGGAGGGAGTAAAAAAAAGTTCATTGACGATGCACACGGCTAGATGTAAGAGATTTCATCTTTCCATTGAAAACAGGTTACCCTGGAGATCTTTTAGTCACTGCAACGTACACACTCACTTCAAAGACAACATTGAGACTTGACATGGTAGCAGTCCCCGGAAATAAGGCTACTCCTGTCAGCCTAGCTCAACACACATACTGGAACCTTGCTGGCCACAATTCTGGGGACGTCCTCGAACACACTGCCCAGATATGGGCGAACCATGTCACCCCTGTGGATCAAAACACCATCCCTACAGGTGAAATTCTACCAGTCAATGGCACCCCATTTGACTTTACAGCCGAAAAGAAGATTGGCCGCGACATACAGCCGGTTGGCTTAGGGTATGACCACAACTACGTGCTCGACTGTGGAGATGAGAAGGAGGGTGGGTTGAAACGCGCGGCCAGGATCAAAGATCCCAAGAGCTCAAGAGTCCTTAACCTGTGGACGAATGCACCTGGCATGCAGTTCTATACTGCTAACTATGTGAATGGAATTGTTGGTAAAGATGGGGCTGTGTATAATAAGCATGGGGGGGTCTGTTTAGAGACACAGGGTTTCCCAAATGCAATCAACACGCCAAATTTCCCATCCGTTGTGGTTCAACCCGGGGAGGAGTACAAGCACACCATGGTGTATGAGTTTTCAGCAGAGTAATTAAGATGGAGTTTCTTTGTTTTTTTATCGAAGTAAATATGAGAGAAGAATAATAATGTGACTCCCATTATAATCACTATATGGGCTTATAATTGATTCTGTTTAGGAGTACGTACATGATGTTTGAGTGAGTGATTAAATTGTAGTGGTGTTGAACTCGGATATTTGTGGCAATGCTATTAAGTTTGGGATCAAATATCATATACTCCCTCCGTCCCTAAATAAACTTCCTCTTTCGTTTTTTCTTTGTCCCCAAATAAACTTCTCTTTTCCCTTAAAAAACCCCTTTTACCCCTTATTTTTTCATACCCTACCTATCACATCATATCTTTTTACTAATAATCTACATATCACATCTTACTTTTACACATCATTTCAAGGGTATTTTTGGAAAGTCAACACCAAAATATTCATCCCTTAATTTCCCAAAAAGTCAAAAACGGAAGTTTATTTAGGGACGGAAGGAGTATGTGTTTGCCAAACACAAATAGGGATCAAATATCATGTACATTTGTTAGTTCCATGTGGTGTCATTCCTCAGTATTGTGTTGAGTATTATAACTCCGGTTGACATTGTTTTTTGACAAATAAACAATTCTTAGATGTTGTCATAGTCTAGTCATTTTGTGTTAAGGCAAAGTTGTAGCATCTTGTCTGTCATCATGGTGTTGAGGTAGAATTGTACTTCGTAACATTCTATCTCTCATCATGGTAAGGAATCTTTAAGAAGTCTTGTTGCTCGATGATATTTACTTGACTTCCTTGTTATTGCAAGGAAGAAGTCCTACGCCTTTGGGAATTTTGTGTCGCAAGACTCAAAGAAGCATCTCAACCCGTGGGCTTTTTAGTTGGAGCTTTGGTCCTTAAGTGATTTGTTGCAATATGTACCAAAGCGAACTCGAGAGTTATATTGAGAATTTTAACGGTTCAACAAGGATGTAAAAGCTATTAGAGCTTGAGGACGATTAACAATGTTATACATATCGATTAACAATGTTATACATAATTAATTCCAAGAAGCATGCAAAGCATTGATGAAATTAGCCGATGTAAACAATTCAACGAGGGAATAAAAGAGGCTGCTGAGCTAGGATCTGGAAGTCAATTAAGAAAGTTGTTTGTCACATTCTTAGTGACAAATACCATGAGTCGTCCTCAAGTTGTTTGGGAAAAATCATGGGAGCTCTTAGTTGATGGAATTTTATTCAAACGAAGAAGAATATTGCATAATCAAGGTATTTTTATAAAAAATTATTTTTTATTATTTATATAAACATTAATATGAATTGCATGGTATGTATATAAAACTCTAGAATTGACAAAAATGTCAAAATAATTTGGTCTAATATTAACTTTTTTTGAAGAACTTCTTATCTCTCCAGAAGATCTAAAGAAATTATGTTTGATTGAGATTGAAAAGTTTCTTAATTCAAACGGATGATCCTTAAAAGAGTTTGGTGGGATGCCATTTTCATATGACAACCCACTCAATAGATTTAAAAACAACTTCTTGGTAGAGGAGTTGAACTATGATAGAGAAAAATTGTCATCTGATCTTAGACAATTCTTATTTACCATGAACGAAGACCAAAAGAAGATATACGACGAGATAATGGAAGTCTTGACAGCTGAAATAATAGGTTTTTTTGTGTATGGTTACGGGGGAACCTGAAAGACCTTCCTCTGGAAATCATTATCCGCTTCTCTTATATCAAAAAGAAAGGTTGTTCTGAATGTTGCATCCAGTGGCATTGCATCATTGTTATTGTCTGGTGGAAGGACTACACACTCTAGATTTTCAATCTATTGGTGCTAACTTAGTGCTCAACGTGTGCCATCAAACAAGGGAGCCTGAAAGCTGAATTGATCCAACAAGCAAGTCTGATCATATGAGATGAATCATGCATGATGAATAGATTTTCATTTGAGGCATTGGATCGCACAATGAGAGATATCACAAGTTCTCTAATAGTAACTACAAAAATGAACCATTTGGAGAGAAAACAGTTATACTCAGAGGTGACTTTCGGTAGATCCTTCCAGTTTTAATTACCTAGAGCTTCGAGAGAGGAAATTGTAGGTGCTACAGTCAACTCCTCACATTATGGACGTACTGTAAAGTTTATACTTTGACCAGGCATATGAGACTGCATTCATCCACTTCTTCTTGCACAGATAGGCACACACAAGCTTTTTCTGATAGGATAATCAAAATGGTTGATGGAAAGCTAGGTCAAATGATTGATGGAGTTAGTGATGAAATCAAATATTCGGGAATCCCAAACAACAAAATAGTCTTGAAAAAGGGGGTATCGATTATGCTATTGAGAAACATTACCCAAACATTTGGATTGTATAATGAGACAAGATTAATCGTTCAAGAAATGCGAAATAATGTAATCGGTGTAATTGTGGTTTCGGAAAATCGAGTCGGAGAAAAGGTTTACATCCCTAGAATGAATTTGGTACCATCTGACCAGGACTACCCTTGAAGTTCCAAAGAAGACAATTCCTGATCACCTTATATTTTGCTATGACTATCAACAAAAGTCAAGGCCAAACATTGTCATTTGTGAGATTGATTTTAACCAAGTCGTTGTTCACACAAAATCTACTTTATGTTGCTGTTTCACGAGTGAAGATAAAGACAAGATTAAAATAAATATTGTTAAGTATACATTCAGTTCCTCAAATATTATTTATTTTACTTTGGCATTTTTACATCTATAGTGTTAAAAATCATGTGAGCAATATTTTTTTATTCCGAAAAATAAATTTCATTGAAATAATTCAAAATCGACATAAATTTCGTTCGACCCCGTGCATGGCATGGGTCAGAATACTAGTATATATATTTGTGTGTGTGTAAAGTTGAGTTTATATGTTGTAGTATTGACATGTGGCATGCCACATATACATCCACATGTGCACCCATTAACGAGGTGGATGCATTTCATATTTCCAATTAGTTTTTTTAAAAACTCTTTTAATACATTTATATAAAACTTTTTCATTTTTTAATATTTTTATAAAAAAACATTTCACCATTGTAAAATATACTCCGTATTACACACACACACACACACACACACATATATAGATATATAGGATTATTTTTATATTATTCACGATTTATTTTAGTATATTACCTTCTCAAAAAATGATTATATAAATTTAATCACATATGAATATATATTTATGAATTAAATACTTTGCTTCAAAACTTTTATTTTTTTACGTTATTTATTTTATTACTACGTATATTTTTCAATAACGTAAATGGAATAAAGTTGATTTAATTGAAGGGTGACAAGTGACATTATGCCACATCTCTAATGATGTGTAACGCCCTCAAACCGGCCTAGTTTTAAATAAATAAATATTATTTATTTATTGAGACTCATTGTTTTAAATAATAAATATTGAGATTTTAATCCCATTAGATGGACTCCAAAAGTTAATGTTTTTTTTTAAAATATAAAAAGATGTTTTAATAACGGACCTCTCAACATTAATTAAATAAATTAATTAATGATTGGGATAGACCCGGAAGTTTGAAAATAAAGTTCTTAGAAAAAATTATTCGAACATGTCATTAAATTCGTTTTGACTGCCTGATTCCAAAAACGCAACTGGATCTCAATTCGGACCCGTTCGGGGGGGAAACCGCGTACCGTTCAGGTCAGATTTTTACATAACGGAGTAAATTAAATATTTGTAACCTCCAAACCAATCCACACGCCACACCCATCACCATGCATTCCCCATTTTTAATCCTCATTTACTTCCCTCATCATTCCTTCATTATTCCTCCATTATGTCTTTTCAATATATACATCCCTTTTCCCTTCCATCTCCTTCACCACTTGTAACCCCCCCAAGCATTCACTCTCTCTTCCTCTCTCCTTCATTCGGCCAGACCAGCAGCAAGGAGGACCTCCGGCGAAGCTCCGGCGGGTGCAAGGTTGAAGGAGAAGTAAGCTAAAAAAGACAAATAATGTAAGTAAAAAATTAAAAAATATTATGGAGTAATAATAAAGATATGGAGGAAAAAAAATAGAATTTCCCAAATTACTACTCATATTTGGGTTTGAAATGCTACAAAACCCATTTTCAGTGGGAAATAAAGTCTCAGTTACTATTTACACGATCAAACTTACTTTCTTTACCTATTTTTGTTAGTTATATGATAAAATAATATAGTCTTGTCACCTCTTGTTTTGTAGAGTTTTGTATGTAGTTTTTAAATATATAAATTTTATTTTTTAATTTTACACCCACAATTGAATAAATTGAATTGAAAATAAAGTCGGTCAAACCTCGTAAACACAAACGGAAAGATAGTTTTAGGACGGTGAAAGTATTTGAGAAGCTACAACTCCAAAACTAATTAAATGAAGTATTATTGGAGATGTTGTAGAATAACTCAAATACTCCATAAGGTAAAGATTATACGGAGTATCAAAGTTTGAGTGAATTCGTCAATATAAAGATTCCTTTTTTACAAATGTTTAAAATGATTTTAAACGGTACTAGTTGTCATATGTTCTTCCTTCACACACAAAAAAAAGAAGAAAAGTACTCCCTCCTTTTTAGGAAAATAATTTGATATACTAAAATAAGGAATTGTCATTTAGAGTTGACTTTTTAATTAGGTCCTTGATGTGATGGATAAAAATAAGACATAATAAATAGATTATAAGTGAAAAAGTATAACTTGATAGGTAAGAGTTAGTAGCAGTAAGAGTTATTTTTTAAATAAAAACAGAAAATGTTTTGCTAAAGAAAAAAAATGAAAGAAGGTTTTGGCAAATGGAGGTAATAATATACTCATTTCCTTGTCTCAGAGATTTTTCGGGCAATTGTCTAGATCTGACGGACAATCCCTTTGATCCCTCCAATACCAAGTACATTTTCTCTCTCTCTCTCCCTATTTGTTTCTCTATTTTTTATTTTTAGCATTCAATTAATTGGGCATGTTTTTATTTATCATTACTTAAAATGAATCTATATTTTCTTTATACATATCCCCCATATGCTCCCTCTAAAGCTGGCAAATTGGTCGGTCAGGTCGGGTTCGTGTTCGGTAACTTCAAGTTCGGGTTATTTTGGATTCGGTTCAATTCGAGTTCGGGTTGAGAACTGTATGTTCATGACCCAGTGTCATCGGGTTCTGGTCAACCCAACGGGTTATGACTTTGGTTTTTTAAATTTTTAAATTCACATTAACACTTACAATTTCTATTAAATAAATTTAAAATATAATAGAAAATGTATTAAATCTATAAAATTATTTTATTTTAAACTCTGAAGTAATTTTTAGATATATAAATCAATATAAAGAATTTAAAAATGTTTAAATTTTGGAAAAAAGTATGATAATTATGCAATATCATTAAAATTTTGTCTGAAAATATAAATTTATGCACTAAAAACGTGTAGTAAAGTGTATGATTTTGAAAAATTCTTACTTTAACGGGTCGGTCAAGTCAGGTTCGGGTTCGGTTGGGTTTGACCCATTTTTAGCGGGTCATTTCGGGTTCGGTCAACTTCGGGTTCAGTCATCAAAACCTGTGTTCAAAACCCGCTGTTTTCAGGTCGGGTTTTAGGTCAAAAACAGGTCGGGTCATTTTTTGCCAGGGTGTCTAGCTCCCTCCGACAGTCCGGATTAAATAGTATTCCTTTTTTTACTTATCACGATCTTTAATTTAACACTTTGACAATTAACATATCTATTTATATACAGATCTATTTAATATAAAAAATAATATTGCAAAACTACGTTTCAGAAGGAAACTTATTACAGTACATTTTTTCAAAAATAATACTCCCTTCGTCCTCATTTTGATCACAATTTTATTTTCTCTCCTCTCGATAACGTTTATTTACGTAGTTTTTTAATATGTAAGTTTTATTTCTTATTGATGTACCAATTTGCAAATAAAATAATTTCAAAAATCGTTGAATTTTACATTGTAAATCTCATTTTGTAATCAAAATGAGGACAGAAAGAGTATATTTTTTCCACAAAGTATAGTCAATGTTTACTAATTTTGACAAATTAATGGTGGCTGCTTTTTTTCCTTTTAGGGTTCACTTGGGTGGCAACGACCCAGCAAATTGTGCTTAATACTTGATCGCGAACAACACCTGTACGTACGTGCATGGGGAGTTAAGAAGTGTGTGCTCGCGCATGTTGTTTTGGATTTTGTTCAACTAATAATAAGTTCTGTGTGTGAGAACTTGTAGCAATATATATAAACCTGCCCATATTTAATTTCAACTCTCTATATGTTTCCATATAGAGAGTGTGTGTGTGTGTTTTGTTTTGGATGCTTAGTATGTGCATCTGGTCGACCAATTTGGATTTGGTTTGGGAAATAAGTTTCGTGTGTGAGAAGCAATGTATTTGCTGCTCTCGATCTTTGTTTCCTTAATAATGTATGTCTATTGTGTGAACATTTCTATATGTATGCATTGTCTTTAATCATGTGGGAATTAAGTGCATGCTCTCGATTTTATAGAGATCCAAATATCACCTATATGCCCAAAATGTTACTGAGTAAAATGTAGGAGAATATGAAAAAGATATGAATAAGGATTTGATACGGAGGGAATACGTCGTCCTCTGGCGCGGCCAACGTTGGGTTGGTGCTGTTAGGGTTTTGGCGGGATAGAAAGGAGATATTTCTACGACCAATTACTTTGTTTTGAAGTCAGTGGCGGAAGCAAGATGTAATTGTTGGAGGGGCACCATGTAGAGGACAGGATTAAGGGGTAGCACGTCCGAATTTTTTTAAACGGAATAAAAATCCTTGATTTTATCTCCAAAAAGGCAACAAGTATTCAAATAATTAAAATTAAAGTCTTAGAAATACTCCCTCCGTTCCTTAAAGTCATTCCCTCATTGACTTTTTGATAAATGTAAGATGTGATGGATAGATTATCAGTAAAAAGTAGTATTATGCCTATTTTTTCATAATGAGGGAGTATTCAAATATATCTGTGTACAAGTATTCAAATAATTAAAATTAAAGTCTTAGAAATACTCTCTTCTCCTTACTTTTTCATACTCTTTTTAAAAAAAAGTAAAAGAGTAGTTGTATATGCCTATTTTTAGGAGGGAGTTTTTTAAAAGCCTTATTAGAAAATTAGGTCTTGCATAGATAAGCCCACTAACGTTTGAACCAACCCAAATATTATGAGCTATTTGGGCAGCCGTAAATAACAAAGAGAGAGAGAGGGTTTGAGATCCCCTTGACAGAGTGAAACGTGATAGGTCCGTAAGTCGATGGCGGCAATAATGAAATCAGAGATTTAAGTCTTTCTACTTCCTATCTTCTTCTTCTCTTTCATACTTCTTTCAGTCATGGAACCATCTGCACGCATTTCGGGATTTTCAAGGTCTCCAAGCCGTCTCCGTGCAACATAGCAATTCTAGGCGCTAGTCGATGGTCAAGTCAAGCTCTCCAAAACGACCGGACGACTAGTCGTGGACTAGTCGGCGACAACTTAATAGCACTGATCTAGATTGGAGCCACCAGATCTGTAGAGATGTGATACCTCTTCATCAGATCTATGTATAATGATGACACTGCAGGGTGGAAGGAGAAGAAAAGAAAGAGGGAAAAAGAAGAAGAGATTGAAGAAGAAGAGGATGGGGTGGACGGGAGACAAGGAGAAGAAAAGAGGAAGGAAGAGGGATGGCTATATAGAATCAGAAGGGAGAGAAAAGAAAAGAAAGAAAAAGAAAAAAGGAAAGAGGAGGAAGAGTGGGGAAAGAAGAAAGAAGAAGAAATGAAAATTAAAAAAACACAATCGAAAGTAGAGAAAGAAGAAATGAAAGAGAAAAGAAAAGAGGAAGTAGAGTGGGGGTGATTGCTACCCTGAACCAAAGAAAGAAGAAAAGAATAAGGAGTAGGGGTAATAAAGTCTTTTTAACATAAAAAAGTTTCTAAAAAAGGAAATGGGAATTTATTTGTGGACAGACAAAAAAGAAAAGTGGAAAGTTTAATTGTGGACGAAAGGAGTATTATTTATGATGTCTAAATTTAATAATAATGTAGACAATTTTTTGCCAAAAATCTCCACAAAAAATAATTGTCTTTCCAACAAAAGTTTTGGACTCACTACCCGTGTTTTTCACACGCAAATTGCTTCAAAGCAACACTTATGAGTTATTGGTGCCTCATCCCATTTTATAAGCCTACTCTTTGTTATGAGCTCAGCAAGAGTACTCCCTTGATGAATATTGCACATTAAATATTCATTTTAGGAGTTAGAGAAATTTTAAAACGTGAATGTGCAATCCTTCCACCAGGAGAGATGCAATACCACTTGATGCACAAAGAAAAATCGTCGCAAGCGTAATTCTTTTTTTTGCTGCCTTTGCATTATAATGTTTTTTCCCATTAAACGTGCTGCTAAATTACTTACAAATAAAGATAAGGCCCTATGGTTTTTATATCTTAGCCTACCGATGGCTGATGAAAAATGAAATAGGACTCATTTATGTGAAGAGAGGGATTACTAATACGTAGTAAGCCATATTTAACCGTACGTAATGCTCTATAACGGCTATGGAATAACAAATGTTTATCGCGTTTCAGGCACGACATACTTCATAAATGCGTGAGAGCTAGGGATAGAGAAGTCACCTGTACGTGGGTTAAAAATATGATTTCATTATAGCCAAATCAATCAAACTACATAAAAGCAAATGAAATTACAATGAAAGAAAATGTGGAGTGGTAGTGTGCGCAGTAGTAGTAATAGTAATAATAATAATAATAATAATAATAATAATAATAATAATAATAATAATAACACTATAAAGCAATACCTATCTCAATTTAATGGCTTCTTACTACTATTGACTATGAGAAAGCTTCTTTTACTGGGAAAGAACCATCTGCAAAAAGAATTTTAATAAGAAAATATTAGCAGTATTTAAGTAAGGGTATAAGAAAACAAATTAATGAAACCCAATACCCTATAATCTTCTTATGATTTGCGTCATGGCTGTACAATATAGATATTGGGATTCATACTTGTTAGAGACGCATTAAAGAATTACAGAGTAGCTCATAGAAAGAGGGTGTGATAGAAATTATTCAAAATTTAATTATATAGTAATCGATATCAAGATTAAAAACTTGCACTCAGTGCCGGGTTCTACCAACAGACCATAAACTAAATATTAAAAGAATTAAATACCTTTTTTGCTCTTCATAACCTTGCTTCCAGTTCATGTACTCAAACTTGTAAACTCTAGCACCATAATGATAGAAGGAACCTCCAAGGATATCTGGAAAAATATAGTAAAATGAGTTCAAGGACTAAAACACATTTTCAATCTCGAAGGATGAAAGAAGATTAGTAATTAGTTCCAGTTTTTAATATCATATTTCTTAGCTTCTTCTAGCATTGCAAAGTATTCCAATAATCAATTAAAGTTTTATAAGATTATAAAACATTTTAAATGAATAAAGTCAATGAACCACTTACATGTGAGCACATTCTGAACTTAGGAAAGAGAAACCTCCAAGGCACCATCACTCCAATGCTAATATGCAAAAGATGCATGAAGTAAAAAATAAAAAGTTAATGGATAAACTGAAATATAGAAGAAGAAATTTTATTTGAAAAGCATAAACACAAAAATAGCACTCATTTTGATAGAAGTTATAAAGAAGCAAAAGAAATCTTTTAAGGAAGTGAAATTGTCCTTTGTAACCACATTTTCAAATTCAAGATTAAATACTTGCACTTAGTGCCGGTATCTACCAACACACCATAAACTAAGTATTAAAAGAATTAAATACCTCTGCTCTTCATAACCTTGCTTCGAGTTCATGTACTCCAACTTGTAAACTCTAGCACTATAAAGATAGAAGGAACTTCCAAGGATATCTGGAAAAAAAATATAGTAACATGAGTTCAAGGACTAAAACACATTTTCAACCTCGAAGGATGAAAGATGAATAGTAATAAGCTCACGTTTTTTACTATCATTTTTCTTTCCTTCTTCTAGCATTGTTAAGTATTCCAATAATCAATTGCTTAGAAACAGTTTCATAAGAATATAAAGCAGTTGAAATGAATGAAGTCAATGAACCACTTGCAGGTGAGCACATTTTGAACTAACTTAGGAAAGAGAAACCTCTAAGGCACCATCACTCCAATGCTAATATGTAAAAGATGTATAAAGCAAAAAATAAAGAGTTAATGGGAAAACTGAAATATAGAAGAAGAAAATATATCAGAAAAGCATAAACACAAAAATAGCACTCACTCTGATAGAAGTTATAAAGAAGCAAAAGAAATTTTTAAGGGAGTGAAATTGTCCTTTATGACAACATATTCAAATTCAATTTGCAAAATCAGATTCTCCTGGCCCATGTACCATATCTTTAATGGTAAAATCAGATGCCATTACAGCTCGACGCCCTTCCGGACCACATATTTGAATTCCAACATCATAAATATCATTAGCTACTCTAAATAAAATACCATGTCAAACGTAGATGAAGCACATGTTAAAAGGCAAAGCTTCATCAAATAGAAAACTTTGGGAAAAAGAAGAAGTTTAAAGAATACAGTTGTGATTTTTGAAAGAAAAATAAAACATGAACTTTTAAAAATGAAAGTAAAGAAGTGTGTAATGTTCTGATGAAAATTTAAAAAAAAAAGAAAGTTACTAAATTAATAAGGGAGAGAAGAATATTTTTTCCAAAATTACAGGAAAAGAATTAGGTCTAATAGGATCTAGATGTGTCCTTCCAATGAGTAAGATGAACTTGTGGGAAACTTCCTTAACTTGAAGACTTTGTATTTAATTGTATTTTGACAGCTAATTAATTTATATGCTCGTTTGTTTCCCCAATGCTATTTCTATCCAAGCTTGCTGTCAAATCTCAGAATGTAATACTCCCTTCCTCCTAATTGAACACAACACTCACTTTCCAATACCCACTAAATAGACTCAAACTCCCTCCCACTGTGTTTTTTTCATCAATGGTATGAATGGAGTATGAATCAAATGTCATCTATAGAATAGAAGTAACTTGATGCCCATAAATGAGAAGACTTGAAATAAGAATTTGTGCAATTGAACTTGAGAATCTTTTTTGCATCTTGCTTAATTTTTTTTTAACTCAATGTGTGCAAACACAAAAACATATAGATTAAAAACAAAAACACATAAAAACTATAGGAAACGACAATATTGATTATTAAAAAGGAAGAAAAAATTTACATATTGTGCAATTCAAGTCGAGAAAAAAGAAAAATCAGGGATTGTGATTTGTGACATACCTGATACCCAAATAACAACCGACTTGCGGCACTGGCAAAACCTGGATCGACGGCCGGATCCATCTGCTTCATCCGTGTTCGGCCACTGGTTGTGAAAAAAGGTTAGGTTAATTAGATGAGAAATGAAAAGAAGATGAAGAAGAGCAGATGGCGGATCATCTATGCAAAAAGACAATTGGAAATCTGGATTTGAAACGAAAGAGAGTTTTCCATTCGAAAAGGCGTCGGCCTAACCTCCCAAAATTACTCATTTAATTATCCCGTGTAATACAAAATTACAAATGTTCTTATATAAAGGTGCAATTTTATTCTTATATCAGTTTCAAATCTATGAGTATGTTCACACTTGGGAAGGAAAAAAATTATGAAAATGCAGTACTTACCTTTCTTTTGCAAATGCAGTACTATGAAAATGGTAGATCATACACTATAAACAGACCAATACAATTCATAAAGGAAAAAGTGAAATTCAAATTGTGCATAGGGAGAACTAACAGGCTTCAAAAACAAATCTAATTAAAATTGAAATGGATGCCAATGTGCAACAGATCAGTGACTAAATCATTCAAACGCATATGACTAAATAAATGAAATGAACAGTAGAAACCATTAACTGTACCCCTTCATGCCATTTAACAAATTGTAATTAAACATAATTATTTGATATTAGATAATCAAGTTTATGAAAATGGAAATATTAAATCTGAACATCATAATATATTGAATAAGAAATCTATAATTGCAAGTTAATACCCTGGATGAAGTTGAAGAAGTGCATTTCCAGAATGGCCGGATCGTGCCCTAATAAAGGTATTTCCAGAATGGCCGGATATGCTCTCAATTCTGAAGGTGCATTTGGAAAGAAAGATATTGACATGACTTATCAAACCATCTTCTAATTCTGAGATAAATTCAAAGAGTAGAGTGTGAATAGGGCTCTTTAAACCATGTCCAGACTCTGCATAGTCATGTTAGCAGCAACATTACTCCTGGATCGAAGACCACACTTCTATAGCTTTGGTTGAACACAATAAATCACCAAAGGTGTAAGTCTTTTTCCATCTCACTAAGATCAAAAGTGGTAGAGCTATAATTTAAAGTCCAATCTGACCCAAGTGAAGTCCTAAGTGTTTCCCTCAATTTTTCGGGCAAGCTTTTATGAAGCAACTCGTAGGAACAGTTTGCACGATCCAACCCTTTACGAAATATAGTGAAGTTAAATACTGAATTTTCTCCACCTTTTCTATGAATTATGACCATATCTTTTATAATCATTACACCCATGTTTATCTCAATGAAATAAGGTAGCTGATGCTTTTGCTTATACAATCTGGCCACTACAATTGCATATATAAGAAGCTGGTTCCAGTTCACAATATTATATGGTGTAGAAGCACCATTAGTGAGATAAGCCCATTGTAAACAGCTCTACAGCAACCCATACTCAGGTATGTTGTATAATGGTTTATTGGATATCACCTCATTATCAGGTAGATAGACAAAGCCCCTATGCTCTCAAGTCTAGGGTTTAAAAATTTCTCAAGGATAATAGACTCGCCTGCAAAAAGAGATTTTTTTTTGAATTGGTTCTCTTTGTTATTCAATACCTGGAAAAATTAACCATGGTTGTTAAGTCGACAAGTCGAGTCGAGTTGGTGAAGGGGAGACTAGTGGACTAGTCGGCCTACTAGTCGTAGACTAGTCGACAAATCACAATTAGTATTGAAATTTTTAACATTATATATATCTTCATTTACCCAAGATAACTATATATATTTATATGGCAAAATATCATTACCAAAATAAAATTATGTTTAAAGGTAGAACATAAAGTCACTAAAAAATTAATAAAACTGAAAAATTAAGAGTATAATATACCTTAATAGTCTAATGAACCAAATTAAAGAAAATTAAACCGAATTAAGAGTATACTTTAATGATAAATAATTAAAGATAGAGAGATGTTACTTAGGGATAGAGAGCGTGTGAGTACTAGAAAATGAAGAAGAATCAATTCCAAAATATTGATTTTGGAACTGCGAACTCTGGAAGATGCCGATGAAGGAGACGTCGCGATTTGGGAATTGTTAAATGTCGATTCACTAGATTTTGATTGTGCTAATTGAACTCATCAAGGGAGGCTGTGTTTTATTGAGTAATTTATAAAGTTTAATGAAATATGGCTCGGGTTGGGTCAAATTGGGTTGGTTCAGAATGGGCAGGTTTTCTTCACAGACTAGTCATTGCTTAGACATCGCTTAACTCGCCCAGTCGCCTAGTCTACCCTAGTCGCTAGTAGACGTGCAAGTCGCCATTCAGAAAACGCCTGGACGACTAGTTGGCGACTAGTCGTCGACTAGGTGACGACTTGACAACAATGAAATTAACTTGTTGCAGAAAATGTTATCCAAGAAAATAATCATACTTGGACGCACAAACCTCGGCTTAGCACCAGATTTCCAGGACCAATAAGGAGAGAGTGGAGCAAGCATGTCTTAGATGATCAATGACGGCATATCTGTGTATGTCTTCAACATCCCCAACACAAATTGCAAGTGGATTTGTATACTTACGCCCTTTAATAAAAGAATCAAATTTTGAAGGAAAGAACAAGTGGGCTTTACCAAGCGTCACAAGCAAATCCATAGATTCGCGGTTGCTTTGTATCTCTTGATCAGGAACTTGTATCTCTTAAACAGGATTTGGATAGATTCGTGGTTGCTTCCGTTGAAGGTTGAAGGTATGGAGAGAAGTGGTGCATCGTTCTGGTCATTTAAGAACTATGCTCCCAGGGCGAAGATGGAAACCCTAGGCTTGTCCAGAGAACGAAAATTTCGAAACTGCAGCTTCCTTCTTCGTCACACTGTGGACTGAATATGCGGAACGTGGCTTCGGGATTGATGGCCAGTTCATATAAAATTGGACCGTGCGATTGGAGTTTGAGATGAAATTGGACCGTTGGATTGTCACAAAAATTAGATTGGAAGTTGTCCAATTTTGATTCGATTTTTATATCAGTGGGGTTCTAGTGACACCTGAGTACGGTGGCACTGCAGTGCCACTCTCATTTTAGGGCACTTCCGGTGCTCCGTTCTTAAAATTGACGGTTCTTACTCCCCCTAACCCACTCCCTAAACCCCCATCCTACTCCCTCTCCTGCACTCCCACCCCAGCTCCGCCGTAAGCCCCCCACAAAATATGTGGCTATTATGCATCCACACATTGTGTGGGGGGCTTACGGCGGAGTTGGGGTGGGGGTGCAGGGGCGGGGGTTTGATTGGGGGGTTTAAGGGGTGGGTTAGGAAGGATAGGAACCGTGAATTTTTCGAACGGAGCACTGGAAGTGCTCCAAAATGACACTGGCACCGTTAGTGTCACCAAAAGTGGGTGTCACTAGAACCCCACCGTTTATATATATATATATATATATATATATATATATATATATATATATATATATATATATATATAATACGGAGTAGAAATTATAATATACTCTCTCCGCCTCTGAAAACCTTTCTCCTTTTTTTTCATCCGTCCCAAAAAACACTTCTTAATTCTATCTAAAAGTAACTGTTACCCCTTACTTTTTCATACCCTACCTATAACATCATACATTTTTACTAATAATCTACTCATCAAATCCTATATTTACCCATCACATCAAAGGACTTTTTGGAAATTCAATATCAAAATATACTTTCCTTAAAATCTCTTAAAAATCAATAACTCCCATGTTTTTGGGACCGGAGGGAGTATCAAATATTTATAACATTAAATTATTTAAAAATATATTTAATTTATGGTCAAAAGTATTACACAATTTAACCAAAAAAAGTCAAAATATAAAGTTCTTTTAAGCACGAATGGATTAATTAAATACTCTCCCCGTCCCTAAAAACATGGGAGGTTGTAATTGCTCCCTCCACCCCAAAAAACATGGGAGGTTGTGATTGTTAAGAGATTTAAGAGAAGTATATTTTGGTTTCGAATTTTCAAAAATATTCTTAGATGTGATGGGTAAAAATAAGAGTTGATTTGTAGATAAATAGTGAGTATATGTGATGCGATAGATAAGTTAAGAATTACTCGGCGTAAGAGTAACTTTTAATAGAAATGAGAAACGTTTTTTGAGACCAATGAAAAAAAAAATGAGAAATGTTTTCATAGGGGTAGGGAGTAATCCATACTAAAATAAAAGGAGCTACTCCGTAGTACTCCGTACGTATGCAAATTCAGTTCATTTTTCTTTTTAAATTTTTTTTTAGCAAAGCAATTATAAAATCTATTACATACTCGGTATTTAATAAATCAACATAATCTATCAAAATAAAAAACAAAGACCCAAATTCTTTAATTAAAATATCAGTCTATCATCGGTCTTCACTAGGAAATACGATTAAACTATTAGAAAGCATTAAAGTTTGAGTGCTTCTTTAGTTGGGCGCATACCATTTTTGTGTACCTTCTCACATAAAAATCTCTTTTTTTATTTTTTACTCCCTCCGTCCCTTTAAACATGGAATGTTCTGATTTTAAAGAGATTTAAGGGGAGTGTATTTTGGTTTAGAATTTCCAAAAATGTCTTTTGATGTGATGTGTAAAAGTAGGATTTGATGGGTAGATTATTAGTAAAAAGGTATGACGTGATAAGTAGGGTATGAAAAAGTAAGAAGTAAAAGTGACTTTTTAATAGAAATAAAAAGTGTTTTTTGGGACGGATGAAAAAGAAAGGAGAAGGGTTTTCAGGGACGGAAGGAGTATAAAAGAACAGATGTCCGTTTAAGTGATAAGAGAATATGTCATGGTGGACCGAAAGTCCACCAAAAAATTTGCCTTACACTATGTTTGGTTCAAGGAATTAAGGAAGAAAGGAAAATGATAAGGAAAAGAAAATAAAAGAAAGGAAACTCAAAATTCTAGTTATGTTTGGTTAAGATGGAAATTGATGAGGAAAATGATGTTTGGTTAAGCTTTCTTCACCACCAATCCCTTCGCCACACGCGGATTGCTCCCCCGATCACATATTACAATCTTGCCACTGACTTCTTTGGGGTCAAGTAAATTCTCCATACACAGTGAAGCAGAGAGCATCCCAGATTTGCCGGGGAATACCAAGGGATACATTTTGTCCTTCAATGGAGACCCCGCGTACAGTGATACAAAATGTACAGTGATACATTTTGTCCTTGAACCAAACATAGTGTTAAAGTTTCTAAATTTGAAACAAAAAGGATTATCCTACGACTATAACACGAAAGGGAGAAGTGCGCCTAAGGGGGAGATGGCTGACTGGGGTTAAATGAATTTGGTAATCATTGGCCTAAACGACATCGTTTCCCCATCTACTTAATACCAATACGGAGTACCTAGTACAGTAATTCAAATCTCCCATCTGAAATTTTGGATCTAAAGCAGACAAAACTGAAATATAGTGTTGGAGCATCGGTGGTCGCTAGGGGGTCACTTTGCTACAGTCTACTTATCGCCGGGTCATGGTGGTACTTCGCCGGAGCCTCGCCGGGTGGGCACGTGCCCCTTCAGCCCCC